AACCGCATTAAATTAAATTAAATATCTAGTAAATAAACACACATGATGAAGTTAACAAGATATGTAATTCGTCTCCCTCCATTTCTGTCTTCCTCTTATTTCTCACGCAGCTCGACCTGGACATGTCTCCGTGTCCTCTCTCCGTCCTGCAGCGGCTGAACAGATGATTTGTTTCAGTGATCAGATGAATTATTTACTTTAAGCCTACATGTGGATATTATAATATTCAGTTTTGTGAATCAAATTTATTTTGTATGCCAACATCTATGAAAGAAAGAGCCAGGCCAAGGAGCGCGATGCGTCATTACGCACAGATGGTTCCGATTTTAATGCCATTTTTGGAGTTTATGTTGTGATCTGTGCGCTCAACCCACCTTTGTCACGTGAGGTTTGAATATGAGCAACTTTATGTGAGTGTCTTTATTTGTGGAAAAGGGTGTTTGTCTTACCAGTGGGTCCAACATTACACACACCAAATCCATCTGTGCTCAGCTGAGAGAGTGTGGAGGACGCCCGATGCAGCGCTTACAGTGACACTTGTTGAGGAGCTGCCTTCTGTCGCCATCGTGTGGCATTACTGTCTTCACACATCTCTCGATCTCTTTGACTACTTCACGAAAATAGTAATACGCCTCGTCAGTGGCGGATTTAAAGGCAAGGAGAGGAGCTTATGTGATTGGTTAAAACAGGTCTCGGCTGTGTTAAACCCACTCCATGCCCTCTCTCCTCCCTCGCTACGACTCACGCCGCTGGGAGGAGCTGAGTTAGGGAGGGGAGATACTTACGCCGGGCTGCGCCGCTCACCAAAATACCAAATTGTGCTTGGGAACGCCTTGTCGGCGCGGCGGACCTGACTTACGCTGCGCCTGCGGCATGAAATTAGGCACGAAAATAGAGCCCTAAGTAACAGAAATGGTTTAGAAATGTTTGGTCAGTATTTTAATCGTTTATTTAGTATTTTTAACAATTTGGTGGTTATAATGTCTCTGAATAATCTGAATGTCAGTATTTAGAATCCATTATTAATCATGATGACATTCATTCACATGTGTTTACTCTTTTGTTGTTCACAGTTTCTGTGTTACTATCTGTTTCATTTCAGAGTAATTTAGCATGTTCAGTGTGATACTTAAAACATAATGAGAATGTTTGATGTGATTCTACATTTCATTCATATGTGTTTAGTAAACCAAGCATTCCATGATATTAATCATTGTGAGTGAGTATCAGATCTGACTCTTTTACCAGCCAAAAGTATAAGTTAGATCAAATAATCAGAGATCTGAGGTCTCCTCTGCAGCTGGAGACCCCACGACCCCTCCTATTTCTCCTCACACACACACGCCAGAGACACTCCCAGTATGAGAAGATAAAACCAGAAAGTGGGGTTACTTACATGCCCTTACTCTCTTGTTGCGCTCTTAGCCCCCTTTTACTCTTGTTGCCCTTATACTCTCTTGTCCCTTATTCTTGTACACTCTCTTCTTTGTTTTCTCTTAGCTCTTTTTCTTAGTCTTCTAAGTTTTACGCCACGTGTTGATTCACGTTGAGTTTTCTTTAACATCGTCTTAGTTCAAGTTTTGAAACTTCAACTTTTAGTGCGCATAGCAATTCAAGATTAAGCCTTTGATTGATTTTTCTTTAATTTCGCAAAGCAATTTTTGATAGTTTCCACTGGTCATCGAGCCTCTTTTTTTTCCCCTGAGTTATCTGCGTGATTTCAAAGTCACCTCTGAATGCAACCCAGCAGGCCCAGGTCATCCTCTGTGCCAGACTTTTTGAGTGAGACCAAAGAAGCGTCCAAACGAGCATCCACAGGAACCACAGGCGCCGGCTTTGCTTCAGGCCCGAGTGCTACAACTCCTGGCCCATCCTTCGGCTGACTTCAGTCATCTTCTGAGCTGAACCGCTCAAACCGCCGGTAGCCCCGGACCTTCGGAACCTGCTCCATCTTTTCCAAGGACCAGTCTCACTTAAGTATGCAAACCTCCAGAGCTCCAAAGAGGGCTGATGCGGTCTCATGTGGTTGTAACTCAGATATCCACTTATTCTGGTAATCTTAGATTCCTCCAAATCCACATCCCAATTTATCTTGACACCAAAGTTAGTGTAGGTTAATATGTTAGAGCATATTCACTCACTATCATTAACTTTAGTGCTCCTAGCCTGACTCAGAATCTTGATTTATTCACCTATTATTATTTATCCTCATTATCTTGTCATCATTTATTGCATGTATGCTGTACCATCATTTATCCTGTAATAAACAGATCATTATTTTTCTAAGTTCTGGTCTGTTAGTGTTCTTCTAGAAGTGGAGTCCCTGAAATGAGAATTTTGGCTCAAGATATGAGATTGATTAATTAATGATTGACTAGATGTTTGATTTCAGAATTAAACTTTTGCTTTTCTTTATTTTCCCACCATTAAGGGTGGGTGGTGCCCCTTTCAACGAGTGCATAAATGTCATAATTTGAGATTATTAATCTTCAGATATTTATTATAAATTCAAATCGCTACACTTATCTTAACATCCATTGGCTGTTTTGAAAATGTATCATTCAATAAATTTTTGGTCTTTTTTTCTATTTAGAGAAAAAAATTACAATATTCCTCTATTAGTCAAGTTTTATTTATTTGTGATAAAAAGGTGCACCACAACATTGCATGAACTACAATATTTACCAGCACAATAAAGCATAAAGTCATTGCAAACAATACTGCAAACCACAATGCAACATCTCTGCTCTTCAGTCATATTTGTCCTTACATATTTATTTTTCTGCTGAGACTGAAGTTAATATTTTCTAATTGCAGACAGGATCAACAGACAAGCAGACATCTCAGACTGGATGGTCAAAATTGATCAGACTCCTGGTTGTAAAACTGACTGACAAGTCTTAAAGGTTATCTGTTAACTTTTACATGGCATCATCACACTACTATCTGCCATAGCTCCAGTCTACACTGTTGTATTATTGATTAATACATACAGTATATTCCACACACTCAAATGTGCACTCATACTGTGTTTTCTTTATCACTGCATCCAGCTGCTGCCACCATTTACTTTCTTCACTGCAGAGGAACTACTGGGAGAGTCTGACTGAGATAAGCTTAGCATCCAGCTGCCTGCAACAGCCTGCAGGCATCTCTACTGCATGAGGAGAACTGTGTTTTGCACAGCCAAACAACTAAACAGTTTGCACAATGACCAGCACAAATAAAATTACATTTTAAAACATTTTGTCACAGTCCAAGCAGATCTGTTGTTTTCAGAGTTCACTGCTGAGGATCCACAACAACAGAGGCAGAAAGGCTCAGCGTAATGGCACTGCTGCATTGCTAATGGCTGGCTGGTGCCACTAGCTGGGACACACACTGCTCGGAGCCAATAACTAGTCAGCTGGTAGCATTTATGCGCTGACACCAGACAAAACTCAGCAGCGTGCATGATTTTTTGGAACATGTTTGCCAACAGGAGTGCAAAAGATGCTGCTGTGTGAACACAGGAGGATTGAAACTTCCTTTTAAGCCATAAATCAAAAAAGGAACAACATAACACAATTCTATATGATGCTGTTTGGCCAGCAGCTAAGTAGGTAAAGTCAGAGCTTCAGCACATGAATGTCCACAGTGAGGGATGAGAGACAAAGGAAAGGAGACTGGGAGTCAAACTAAGCAGCAGATCAAAAGCTCATAGGCCTATTTAGTTTCAATTTGTTAACTTGTTTAATGAACTATGTTGTGTTTTGTAATTTGTTGATTTGCAAGCAGAAAAAATAGTAAAAGGGAAGAGTGTTAATGATAATGGTGTTGTTAATGATGATAGTGCTGCCTGCAACAGCCGTGAGCAAGACATCTGTGGCATCAGCTCAGTTACTAGATATTTTATCACTGACAGCAGGCTCTTTATCTTATTTAGCTCACAGCTTATCATGATTAGTAATAACTTTTTCTAATGAAAAATGTCTCACTTAAATCATTGTGTTCAAAACTTTAAAAAGCAAAAGATACATACGTGTGGCATGACACAACAAAGGTACATTTCAAAACCACATTTTTTGTCGTCAAAGGAAACAAAGAAACAGGCATATTACAACAGACAGCATTCTGCACTCAAGTGTTTGAATTGTTATCCCATTCTGTATGAAAAAAGTCAGCCAGGCTGATCCCATTTGAGGTTTTTACAACCCTTTCTCTCCATCTTTCCAGGGGCTTTGGCTTATTTTCTCAGCCCACTATGACTCATTGGTACAGAAACTGGAATCTTTTGTTTTGCAATTAAGCGAAGCACTTTTATTCATCCTCTTTTGTTACACGCCTAGACAGAAAAATACAGTATCAGTTTTACTCCACCTAAGATTGATCCTCAATTAATTTGGAAAAGAAAGCAAAAGGGGAGGCCCTGTGTCATTTTAGAGCAATTTGTGTTTAAACATCAATCACATCAGCGGGCAGGTTATGTCATATAATGAGGCACAGAATGAGTGGAAACAATTGCACAACACCTTGACAGAGGGTCAAAATAGGCAAAGGTTTATTAAACAGGCAAGGGGAGGTACACAGGGAAGCAGTCAGATCTAGCAGAGGTATCCAAAAACTGTGAGACATAGGTAAGGCCACAAAGGCAAGCAAAGTTCAAAATACAACTAGGGCCCCGGTGGGGCACTGGCGGGCCCGAGCCATGTTGTGTCGCCCCCAGCGCGACGGCCCCCCCCCTTCCGATCGCGGCACACTCAAGGTCCAAAGATGGTGTGCGCACTTGTCTGTGGTCATTTCCCATTATAATGAGTGGGAGGCGCAGTTTCTACCAAAACGCTCGCTGCAGAAAAACTCCATGTCTTATTTGAAAAAAGTCTGGACCATGAGTGAGGGCACAAACACAGCTAGGATATATCCAAATGGCAAGTTGCTCCTCCTTTCGGTTTTGCCGAGAGAGCGATGCGTTTAAGCCATTGAGCGATGGGCAGGAAAAACTTGACTTTTTCTCCGGCCATGGGGGGGCGCTCTTTTGGGGAGTAAAAATTCCTTCACAAATGTGTTGATGGCTGAACATTGCATTATCCTAGAAAACTTGGAGGCCAGTGAGGACAAAAATAAAAAGTTATAAGACTTCTGAAAATGTGGATTTTTGAGTTATCTTTGGCGCCCCCTAGAACGTAAACCGTGGGGTGCAGCGTCATGATTTGAATAACTTTTAATGGCCATGGGGTGTAGATTGGCCTGAGCAAATGTGGTGCCGGTGGAACGAAAGCCTTCGGAGGAGTTAGCGAAATTCCAATGTGTGCGGATCGGCAAAAAATGCAAAATAGCCCTTTAACCGTACATTTGACAGATACGCGCGCATTGACTTTTTCGTAGATCTTTTTGAGATACATGTGATTGTCAAATTTTGTGTCAATATGCCAAAGCGTACAGGTGTGACACTCACCAATGTGTATTTTCACCTTAGGGGACAAGAAAAAATGGACTTTTTTCTCCTGCCATGGGGGGGGCGCTCTTTTGGGGAGTAAAAATTCCTTCACAAATGTGTTGATGGCTGGACATTGCATCATCCTAGAAAAGTTGGAGGCCAGTGAGGACAAAAATAAAAAGTTATAAGACTTTTAAATATGTGGATTTTAGGGTTATTTTGGCGCCCCCTAGAACCTAAACCGTGGGGTGCAGCGTCATGATTTGAATAACTTTTAATGGCCATGGGGTGTAGATTGGCCTGAGCAAATGTGGTGCCGGTGGAACGAAAGCCTTCGGAGGAGTTAGCGAAATTCCAATGTGTGCGGATCGGCAAAAAATGCGGAATAACCCTTTAACCGTACATTTGACAGATACGCGCGCATTGACTTTTTCGTAGATCTTATTGAAATACACGTGTATGTCAAATTTTGTGTCAATATGACAAAACATACAGGCGTAGCACTCAACAATGTGTATTTTCACCTTAGTGGACAAGATAAAATGGACTTTTTTCTCCTGCCATGGGGGGGCGCTCTTTTGGGGATTAAAAATTCCTTCACAAATGTGTTGATGGCTGGACATTGCATCATCCTAGAAAACTTGGAGGCCAGTGAGGGCAAAAATAAAAAGTTATAAGACTTTTAAATATGTGGATTTTAGGGTTATCTTTGGCGCCCCCTAGAACCTAAACCGTGGGGTGCAGCGTCATGATTTGAATATCTTTTAATGGCCATGGGGTGTAGATTGGCCTGAGCAAATGTGGTGCCGGTGGAAAGAAAGCCTTCGGAGGAGTTAGCGAAATTCCAATGTGTGCGGATCGGCAAAAAATGCGGAATAACCCTTTAACCGTACATTTGACAGATACGCCCGCACTGACTTTTTTGTAGATCTTATTGAGATACATATGTGTGTCAATTTTTGTGTCATTTTGACAAAGCGTACAGCCGTGACAGTCAATAGTGTGAATTTTCATCTTAGGGGGCGCTATGGAGCCATTTTGCATTTTCTTGATTGGTCGACTTCGGAATATCAAATTTTTCACCAGGCCCGGTCATCCTGCCAAATTTCATGAGTTTTCGCCAGTGGGAAGTGGGCCATTTTCCAGTTCAAAGGGGAGGAAAAAGAAGAAACTAGGGCCCCGTTGGGGCACTGGCGGGCCCGAGCCGTGTCACGCCGCCCCCAGCGCGACCGCCTCCCCCACCCGATCGCGTCACACTCAAGGTCCAAAGATGGTGTGCGCACTTGTTTGTGGTCATTTACCATTATAATGAACGGGAGGCGCAGTTTCTACCAAAACGCTCGCTGCAGAAAAACTCCATGTCCTATTTGAAAAAAGTCTGGACCATGAGTGAGGGCACAAATACAGCTAAGATATATCCAAATGGCAAGTTGCTCCTCCTTTCGCTTTTGCCGAGAGAGCAGTGCGTTTGAGCCATTGAATGATGAACAGGAAAAACTTGACTTTATTCTCCTGCCATGGGGGGGGGGCGCTCTTTTAAAGAGAAAAAACTCCTTCACAAATGTGTTGATGGCTGGACATTGCATCATCCTAGAAAACATGGAGGCCAGTGAGGACAAAAATAAAAAGTTATAAGACTTTTAAATATGTGGATTTTAGGGTTATCTTTGGCGCCCCCTAGAACCTAAACCGTGGGGTGCAGCGTCATGATTTGAATAACTTTTAATGGCCATGGGGTGTAGATTGGCCTGAGCAAATGTGGTGCCGGTGGAACGAAAGCCTTCGGAGGAATTAGCGAAATTCCAATGTGTGCGAATCTGCAAAAAATGCGAAATAACCCTTTAACCGTACATTTTACAGATACGTGCCCATTGACTTTTTCGAAGATCTTATTGAAATACACATGTATGTAAAATTTTGTGTCAATACGACAAAACATACAGGCGTAGCACTCAACAATGTGTATTTTCACCTTAGTGGACAAGAAAAAATTGACTTTTTTCTCCTGCCATGGGGGGGCGCTCTTTTGCCGAGTAAAAATTCCTTCACAAATGTGTTGATGGCTGGACATTGCATCATCCTAGAAAACTTGGAGGCCAGTGAGGGCAAAAATAAAAAGTTATAAGACTTTTAAATATGTGGATCTTAGGGTTATCTTTGGCTCCCCCTAGAACCTAAACCGTGGGGTGCAGCGTCATGATTTGAATAACTTTTAATGGCCATGGGGTGTAGATTGGCCTGAGCAAATGTGGTGCCGGTGGAACGAAAGCCTTCGGAGGAATTAGCGAAATTCCAATGTGTGCGAATCTGCAAAAAATGCGAAATAACCCTTTAACCGTACATTTTACAGATACGTGGCCATTGACTTTTTCGAAGATCTTATTGAAATACACGTGTATGTAAAATTTTGTGTCATTTTGACAAAACATACAGGCGTAGCACTCAACAATGTGTATTTTCACCTTAGTGGACAAGAAAAAATTGACTTTTTTCTCCTGCCATGGGGGGGCGCTCTTTTGCCGAGTAAAAATTCCTTCACAAATGTGTTGATGGCTGGACATTGCATCATCCTAGAAAACTTGGAGGCCAGTGGGGACAAAAATAAAAAGTTATAAGACTTTTAAATATGTGGATTTTACGGTTATATTTGGCGCCCCCTAGAACCTAAACCGTGGGGTGCAGCGTCATGATTTGAATAACTTTTAATGGCCATGGGGTGTAGATTGGCCTGAGCAAATGTGGTGCCGGTGGAACGAAAGCCTTCGGAGGAGTTAGCGAAATTCCAATGTGTGCGGATCGGCAAAAAATGCGGAATAACCCTTTAACCGTACATTTGACAGATACGCGCGCATTATCTTTTTCGTAGATCTTATTGAGATACATGTGTGTGTCAATTTTTGTGTCATTTTGCCAAAGCGTACAGGTGTTACACTCAACAATGTGTATTTTCACCTTAGGGGACAAGAAAAAATGGACTTTTTTCTCCTGCCATGGGGGGGCGCTCTTTTGGGGAGTAAAAATTCCTTCACAAATGTGTTGATGGCTGGACATTGCATCATCCTAGAAAACTTGGAGGCCAGTGAGGGCAAAAATAAAAAGTTATAAGACTTTAAAATATGTGGATCTTAGGGTTATCTTTGGCGCCCCCTAGAACCTAAACCGTGGGGTGCAGCGTCATGATTTGAATAACTTTTAATGGCCATGGGGTGTAGATTGGCCTGAGCAAATGTGGTGCCGGTGGAACGAAAGCCTTCGGAGGAGTTAGCGAAATTCCAATGTGTGCGGATCGGCAAAAAATGCGAAATAACCCTTTAACCGTACATTTGACAGATACGCCCGCACTGACTTTTTTGTAGATCTTATTGAGATACATGTGTGTGTCAATTTTTGTGTCATTTTGACAAAGCGTACAGGCGTGACAGTGAATAGTGTGAATTTTCACCTTAGGGGGCGCTATGGAGCCATTTTGCATTTTCTTGTTTGGGCGACTTCGGAATATCAAATTTTTCACCAGGCCCGGTCGTCCTGCCAAATTTCATGAGTTTTCGCCAGTGGGAAGTGGGCCATTTTCCAGTTCAAAGGGGAGGAAAAATAATAATAATAATAACAAAAGAAGGAAACTACAGGAACAAGAGGGCTCTCGCAGCTGCTTAGCAGCTACGCTCGGGCCCTAATAATAATAATAACTAGGGCCCCGTTGGGGCACTGGCGGGCCCGAGCCGTGTCGCGCCCCCTCCCCAACGCGATCGCCTCCCCATCCCATTCTCTTCCTCTGGCCATCGCCCTCTCTGGTAACGCCCATCACTACAAAGACTCTTATCCTTCATCGGCGTTTGTGGTTCTTCCCGCCAGTGTGTGTCCAACGCTTTTGCGCGTTGAAAGGTTAGGGTCTCCACTAAAGGTCAGAGGTCAAATAACATTTGTATCTCAAACTGTGACGTCACAGTCAGGGTCCAAAGATGGTGTGCGCAACTGTCTTTGGTCATTTCCCATTATAATGAATGGGAGGCACAGTCTCTACCAAAACGCTCGCTGCAGAAAAACTACGTGTCCTTTTTGAAAAAAGTCTGGACCATGAGTGAGGGCACAAACACAGCTAGTATATATCCAAATGGCAAGTTGCTCCTCCTTTCGGTTTTGCCGAGAGAGCGATGCGTTTGAGCCATTGAGCGATGGGCAGGAAAAACTTGACTTTTTCTCCTGCCATGGGGGGGCGCTCTTTTGGGGAGAAAAAATTCCTTCACAAATGTGTTGATGGCTGGACATTGCATCATCCTAGAAAACTTGGAGGCCAGTGAGGACAAAAATAAAAAGTTATAAGACTTTTAAAAATGTGGATATTTGGGTCCTCTTTGGCGCCCCCTAGAACGTAAACTGTGGGGTGCAGCGTCATGATTTGTACAACTTTGAATGGCCATGGGGTGTAGATTGACCTGAGCAAATTTGAAGCCGATGGGACAAAAGATTTAGGAGGAGTTAGCCACATTCCAATGTGTGCGAATCGGCAAAAAATGCGAAATAGCCCTTTAACCGTACATTGAACAGATACGGTCGCATTGACTTTTTCGTAGATCTTATTGAGATACATGTGTGTGTCAAATTTTGTGTCATTTTGACAAAGCGTAAAGGCGTGACAGTCAACAATGTGTATTTTCGCCTTAGGAGACAAGAAAAAATGGACTTTTTTCTCCTGCCATGGGGGGGGGCGCTCTTTTGGCGAGTAAAAATTCCTTCACAAATGTGTTGATGGCTGGACATTGCATCATCCTAGAGAACTTGGAGGCCAGTGAGGACAAAAATAAAAAGTTATAAGACTTTTAAGACTGTGGATTTTTGGGTTATCTTTGGCGCCCCCTAGAACGTAAACCGTGGGGTGCAGCGTCATGATTTGTACAACTTTTAATGGCCATGGGGTGTAGATTGGCCTGAGCAAATGTGGTGCCTTTGAAACGAAAGCCTTCGGAGGAGTTAGCGAAATTCCAATGTGTGCGGATCGGCAAAAAATGCGAAATAGCCCTTTAACCGTACATTTGACAGATACACCCGCACTGACTTTTTCGTAGATCTTATTGAGATACACGTGTGTGTCAAATCTTGTGTCAATATGATGAAGCGTACTTACAGATAAGTAATATGATTGACTTTAATGCCTTTTAACTTTTTCTGTAGCATCAGATTTAATAGACAACTCCCTTTGGCGCCCCTCAGTGGCCATAACTACTTTGTCTGCTGTTAATAGACAACTCCCTTTGGCGCCACTCAGTGGCCAAATCTACTTTGTCAGCTGTAAAATCAAATTGGATTCATTTTTTTCCAGATTTTTCTTTTGTACATCTCTTATTTTACTTCTGCCCTCTTCAAAACTAGCAAATGTTTCATTGAAAATAATTTTTTTAAGCCTGTAAGAGCACATTTAAGACATAAAGTCACTAATATAGCAAAAATTTGAGCCTTTTAACTTTTTCTGTAGCATCAGATTTAATAGACAACTCCCTTTGGCGCCCCTCAGTGGCCATAACTACTTTTAAGAATGTGGATTTTTGGGTCATCTGAGCAAATTTGGTGCCGGTGGAACAAAAGCCTTCGGAGGAGATAGCGAAATTCCAATGTGTGCGGATCGGCCATAAATGCGAAATAGCCCTTTAACCGTACATTTGACAGATACGCCCGCACTGACTTTTTTGTAGATCTTATTGAGATACACGTGTGTGTCAAATTTTGTGTCAATATGAAAAAGCGTACAGGCGTAAGGTGAATTTTCACCTAAGGGGGCGCTATGGAGCCATTTTGCATTTTATTGTTTGGGCGACTTCAGAATATCGAATTTTTCATCAGGCCCGGTCTTCCTGCCAAATTTCATGAGTTTTCGCCAGTGGGAAGTGGGCCATTTTCCCATTTAAAACAGAGGAAAAATAACGGAAGAACTAGGGCCCCGGTGGGGCACTGTCGGGCCCGAGCCGCGTCGCGCCGCCCCCAGCGCGACCGCCTCCCCCTCCCGATCGCGTCACACTCAAGGTCCAAAGATGGTGTGCGCACTTGTCTGTGGTCATTTACCATTATAATGAATGGGAGGCGCAGTTTCTACCAAAACGCTCGCTGCAGACAAACTCCATGTCCTATTTGAAAAAAGTCTGGAACATGAGTGAGGGCACAAACACAGCTAAGATATATCCAAATGGCAAGTTGCTCCTCCTTTCGGTTTTGCCGAGAGAGCGATGCGTTTAAGCCATTGAGCGATGGGCAGGAACAACTTGACTTTTTCTCCGGCCATGGGGGGGCGCTCTTTTGGGGAGTACAAATTCCTTCACAATTGTGTTGATGGCTGAACATTGCATTATCCTAGAAAACTTGGAGGCCAGTGAGGACAAAAATAAAAAGGTATAAGACTTTTGAAAATGTGGATTTTTGGGTTATCTTTGGCGCCCCCTAGAACGTAAACCGTGGGGTGCAGCATCATGATTTTTACAACTTTTAATGGCCATGGGGTGTAGATTGGCCTGAGCAAATTTGGTGCCGATGGGACGAAAGCTTTAGGAGGAGTTAGCCACATTCCAATGTGTGCGAATTGGCAAAAAATGCGAAATAGCCCTTTAACCGTACATTTGACAGATACGCGCGCATTGACTTTTTCGTAGATCTTATTGAGATACACGTGATTGTCAAATTTTGTGTCAATATGACAAAGCGTATAGGCGTGAATCTCAACAATATGTATTTTCACCTTAAGGGACAAGAAAAAATGGACTTTTTTCTCCTGCCATGGGGGGGCGCTCTTTTGGGGAGTAAAAATTCCTTCACAAATGTGTTGATGGCTGGACATTGCATCATCCTAGAAAACTTGGAGGCCAGTGAGGACAAAAATAAAAAGTTATAAGACTTTTAAATATGTGGATTTTAGGGTTATCTTTGGCGCCCCCTAGAACGTAAACCGTGGGGTGCAGCGTCATGATTTGAATAACTTTTAATGGCCATGGGGTGTAGATTGGCCTGAGCAAATGTGGTGCCGGTGGAACGAAAGCCTTCGGAGGAGTTAGCCACATTCCAATGTGTGCGGATCGGCAAAAAATGCGAAATAACCCTTTAACCGTAATTTTGACAGATACGGCCGCACTGACTTTTTTGTAGATCTTATTGAGATACATATGTGTGTCAATTTTTGTGTCAATATGACAAAGCGTACAGGCGTGACAGTCAATAGTGTGAATTTCCACCTTAGGGGGCGCTATGGAGCCATTTTGCATTTTATTGTTTGGGCGACTTCAGAATATCGAATTTTTCACCAGGCCCGGTCGTCCTGCGCAAAAAATGCGGAATAACCCTTTAACCGTACATTTGACAGATACGCGCGCATTGACTTTTTCATAGATCTTATTGAGTTACATGTGTGTGTCAATTTTTGTGTCATTTTGACAAAGCGTATAGGCGTGACACTCAACAATGTGTATTTTCACCTTAGGGGACAAGAAAAAATGGACTTTTTTCTCCTGCCATGGGGGGGGCGCTCTTTTGGGGAGTAAAAATTCCTTCACAAATGTGTTGATGGCTGGACATTGCATCATCCTAGAAAACTTGGAGGCCAGTGAGGACAAAAATAAAAAGTTATAAGACTTTTAAATATGTGGATTTTAGTGTTATCTTTGGCGCCCCCTAGAACCTAAACCTTGGGGTGCAGCGTCATGATTTTGATAACTTTTAATGGCCACGGGGTGTAGATTGGCCTGAGCAAATGTGGTGCCGGTGGAACGAAAGCCTTCGGAGGAGTTAGCCACATTCCAATGTGTGCGGATCGGCAAAAAATGCGAAATAACCCTTTAACCGTAATTTTGACAGATACGGCCGCACTGACTTTTTTGTAGATCTTATTGAGATACATATGTGTGTCAATTTTTGTCTCAATATGACAAAGCGTACAGGCGTGACAGTCAATAGTGTGAATTTACACCTTAGGGGGCGCTATGGAGCCATTTTGCATTTTCTTGTTTGGGTGACTTCGGAATATCAAATTTTTAGCCAGGCCCGGTCGTCCTGCCAAATTTCATGAGTTTTCACCAGTGGGAAGTGGGCCATTTTCCAGTTCAAAGGGGAGGAAAAAGAAGAACTAGGGCCCCGTTGGGGCACTGGCGGGCCCGAGCCGTGTCGCGCTGCCCCCCCCCAACGCGCTGCCTCCCCGTCCCATTCGCTACCTCTGGCCATCGCCCTCTCTGGTAACGCCCATCACTGCAAAGACCCTTTCCTTCATCAGCGTTTGCTGTTCTTCCTGCCAGTGCGTGTTGCTTTCACTTACACTTGCCACAGCCAGCCTCGTGAGTGCCTAGCCTATTGGATATCACTGTCATCTACACAGGACAGTCATAACCTTTCTATTAATACTTGTTTTTTAATTTCACATTAATTTCAATATTGTATAAATGACTGGAAAAAACTTGAGCCCCTGCCCCTGTATAATCATGTGCACGTCCCTGTTCTAGCTCCAAGGTGAATCTTCACTGCTCATGTTCTCCTCAGAAGTAGTCACCTCACTCCCCTCAGGTGACTATACACATGCACCAACTGCCTGCTTCAGGTTTGGATGGAGCTTCATGGTTGTCTTTTGGAGAAATGAGCAGTCAAGTTGTGTTTGAAATTTGATTTTTTTCAGGGGCAAAAAGGGGCCTCTGCATTCTAGTCAAATATGTAAATAGCATGTTTTTGCAGGTGCTAAAAAAAAGACTCTGAGTGTGTGTGTGTGTATATCCTGCAGTACTCTGAGAAGAATAATAAGCATATTTCTGAGGTGAATTTTGAAGATTCATCTGAGAGTTAGGAGGGCTGATCATTCCCTTACCTTTTAGATGTCTGTCTATGTCTGTTTTTGTGTGATAATGAAAGAATCCCAACTCAAAAAGGCTCTGTTGATGTTTTTTTTTTTGTTGTTGTTCATTCATATTCAAACCACTATTTTATATCACTGCTAATACGCCAAGACCATTTTATGGAATTTAGCTTTATTATTTCTATACATTTTGCAAGGAAAGAAACCAAGGCCTTCACTAAAATTTCCATAAACTTTAGGAAAGGACCTCTGGTTGTTTAACGGGGTCATTACTGCAAAAACATATTCTTCCTAAATTTTGAAGGTCAAACCTTAGATCCATTAGGTTTAAATAGAAAAAGCATTAAAATATGTTAGGATTATAGCATATGACAAATATGTGCCTTTCAGTGGCCACAACTACTTTGTCTGCTGGCTCTGCAGTCGATTGACGCTCCCCAGCGTTCAAGTCACATTACATATTTAACCGGATGTAGCAGCAAGACGGAGCCTCGTTGACTCTCCGTTTCAACTTATCTCAAAAGTGAGGACCTCAAACTATACACCAGTTTTCAAATTGTGTTGATAGGCCAAATAAAACCAGAGTTATGATAAATTATGTCCGTGATACTTTTTTTCTGCTTATTTTGATCACGTTCGGCGCTCGATCGCGCTGTATGAGACAGGAAAACATAGCATGCAGACATTAGCGACAGGTCTTACAGGCGGAAAAGGCTTGCCAAAGAAAAAAAAAACACACCACAACATCTCTCCTATTGGTGGAAAACTTCACCACAACAACCAATCCAAAATTATATGGTGACTGATTGACAAGGGGCGGGCGCTTACGTTCTTCCTGCAACATGAGAAGGGAGGGAGGAACTCTCAGCAGGGATGCAGTCTGGGACACGTAGTTGCAAACCTAGCGACTTTGTTGTTAGATTCAATGACTTTTCAGACCCCCTAACGACTTTTTTTTAGAAAGAAAGGGACTTTTATCGACTTCTTCTGGAGTTTAGAGACTCTGACATGAAGCAGGCTTTCCTTACTGAGGAGTTAGCAACGCTGCTAAGGGTGCAGAGCCACACATGCGCTCCGAGCTCTGCATGGGAGACTAAAGCTGACAGAGCTGCAGCAGTTAGCAGGTTTCACCCTCAGAGACCACCAGGGGTTCATGTTGAGGCATTTTCAGTTTTTTTTTTTTTTTTGCCATAGACACTGTCAGCACAATCTGCAGTTACACTAACAAAAATGCTGCAAAAAACAAAGAATTATGGAAAAATTACACATGGACTGACATAGAGGAGGATCTACACAAGTTTTTTACATCATGTTTTACATCATGCATCATTTACATCATGTTTTTTTGTAGTGGCATAAATAAAAAGTGACATTTGTGAGACTATACAGTGTTTTGTAAATAATTTTACAAAGAACGCCTGGGCCATTGCCTGCATTTTGATGTAAATAGAGGTAAATTACTATGTTCTTTGTTAAAAATTTGCATATGTTTTGAAGTTTACAATTTTTATTTGAAGTTTAAGTTTTAAAAACAGTTCATCACACATATTTGTGGTTTAATTTCACATTAATTTCCATATTGTATAAATGACTGGAAAAAACTTGAGCCCCTGCCCCTGTATAATCATGTGCACGTCCCTGTTCTAGCTCCAAGGTGAATCTTCACTGCTCATGTTCTCCTCAGAAATAGTCACCTCACTCCCCTCAGGTTACTGTACACATGCACCAACTATCTGCTTCAGGTTTGGATGGAGCTTCATGGTTGTCTTTTGGAGAAATGAACAGTCAAGTTGTGTTTGAAATTTGATTTTTTTCAGGGGCAAAAGGAAGCCTCTGCATTCTTGTCAAATATGTAAACAGCATGTTTTTGCAGGTGCTAAAAAACAGACTCTGAGTGTGTGTGTGTGTGTGTGTGTGTGTGTGTGTGTGTGTGTGTGTGTGTGTGTGTGTGTGTTGGCGTGTGTGTATATGTGTGTGTGTCCGGCAGTACTCTGTACTCCTGCAGTGGCCAAAAAGACTTTTAAGAATGTGGATTTTTGGGTCATCTTTGGCGCCCCCTAGAACTGCAGTACTCTGTACTCCTGCAGTGGCCAAAATGACTTTTAAGAATGTGGATTTTTGGGTCATCTTTGGCGCCCCCTAGAACGTAAACCGTGGGGTGCAGCGTCATGATTTTTACAACTTTGAATGGCCATGGGGTGTAGATTGCCCTGAGCAAATTTGGGATCGGTGGGACGAAAGCCTTAGGAGGAGATAGCCACATTCCAATGTGTGCGAATCGGCAAAAAATGCGAAATAGCCCTTTAACCATACATTTGACAGATACGTGCCTATTGACTTTTTTGTAGATCTTATTGAGATACACGTGATTGTCAAATTGTGTGTCAATATGACGAAGTGTATAGGCGTGACACTCAACAATGTGTATTTTTACCTTAGGAGACAAGAAAAAATGGACTTTTTTCTCCTGCCATGGGGGGGCGCTCTTTTGGGGAGTAAAAATTCCTTCACAAATGTGTTGATGGCTGGACATTGCATCATCCTAGAAAACTTGGAGGCCAGTGAGGACAAAAATAAAAAGTTATAAGACTTTTAAGAATGTGGATTTTTGGGTCATCTTTGGCGCCCTCTAGAACGTAAACCGTGGGGTGCAGCGTCATGATTTTTACAACTTTGAATGGCCATGGGGTGTAGATTGCCCTGAGCAAATTTGGGATCGGTGGGACGAAAGCCTTAGGAGGAGATAGCCACATTCCAATGTGTGCGAATCGGCAAAAAATGCGAAATAGCCCTTTAACCATACATTTGACAGATACGTGCCTATTGACTTTTTTGTAGATCTTATTGAGATACACGTGATTGTCAAATTGTGTGTCAATATGACGAAGTGTATAGGCGTGACACTCAACAATGTGTATTTTTACCTTAGGAGACAAGAAAAAATGGACTTTTTTCTCCTGCCATGGGGGGGCGCTCTTTTGGGGAGTAAAAATTCCTTCACAAATGTGTTGATGGCTGGACATTGCATCATCCTAGAAAACTTGGAGGCCAGTGAGGACAAAAATAAAAAGTTATAAGACTTTTAAGAATGTGGATTTTTGGGTCATCTTTGGCGCCCTCTAGAACGTAAACCGTGGGGTGCAGCGTCATGATTTTTACAACTTTGAATGGCCATGGGGTGTAGATTGCCCTGAGCAAATTTGGGATCGGTGGGACGAAAGCCTTAGGAGGAGATAGCCACATTCCAATGTGTGCGAATCGGCAAAAAATGCGAAATAGCCCTTTAACCATACATTTGACAGATACGTGCCTATTGACTTTTTTGTAGATCTTATTGAGATACACGTGATTGTCAAATTGTGTGTCAATATGACGAAGTGTATAGGCGTGACACTCAACAATGTGTATTTTTACCTTAGGAGACAAGAAAAAATGGACTTTTTTCTCCTGCCATGGGGGGGCGCTCTTTTGGGGAGTAAAAATTCCTTCACAAATGTGTTGATGGCTGGACATTGCATCATCCTAGAAAACTTGGAGGCCAGTGAGGACAAAAATAAAAAGTTATAAGACTTTTAAGAATGTGGATTTTTGTGTTATCTTTGGCGCCCCCTAGAAAGTAAACCGTGGGGTGCAGCATCATGATTTGTACAACTTTTAATGGCCATGGGGTGTAGATTGGCCTGAGCAAATTTGGTGCCGGTGGAACGAAAGCCTTCGGAGGAGTTAGCGAAATTCCAATGTGTGCGGATCGGCAAAAAAAGCGAAATAGCCCTTTAACCGTACATTTGGCAGATACGCCCGCACTGACTTTTTCGTAGATCTTATTGAGATACACATGTGTGTCAAATTTTGTGTCATTTTGACAAAGCGTACAGGCATCAGGTGAGTTTTCACCATAGGGGGCGCTATGGAGCCATTTTTCATTTTTTTGTTTGGACGACTTCAGAATATCAAATTTTTCACCAGGCCCGGTCGTCCTGCCAAATTTCCTGAGTTTTCGCCAGTGGGAAGTGGGCCATTTTCCAGTTTAAAGCGGAGGAAAAATAACGAAAGAAGAATCCATCAGGAACAAGAGGGCTCTCGCAGCTGCTTAGCAGCTACGCTCGGGCCCTAAAGAAAGAAAGAAAGAAAGAAAGAAGAAAGAAAAACCTATACAGGAATAATAGGGCTCTACGCCCGGCTGCTCTGCAGCTGGCTCGGGCCCTAATAACAAAAGAAGGAAACTACAGGAACAAGAGGGCTCTCGCAGCTGCTTAGCAGCTACGCTCGGGCCCTAATAATAACTAGGGCCCCGGTGGGGCACTGTCGGGCCCGAGCCGCGTCGTGCCGCCCCCAGCGTGACCGCCTCCCCCTCCCGATCGCGTCACACTCAAGGTCCAAAGATGGTGTGCGCACTTGTCTGTGGTCATTTCCCATTATAATGAATGGGAGGCGCAGTTTCTACCAAAACACTCGCTGCAGACAAACTTCATGTCCTATTTGAAAAAAGTCTGGACCATGAGTGAGGGCACAAACACAGCTGGGATATATCCAAATGGCAGGTTGCTCCTCGTTACGGTGTTGCCTGGAGAGCGATGCGATTGAGCCATTGAGCGATGGGCAGGAAAAACTTGACTTTTTCTCCTGCCATGGGGGGGGAGAATGTGGATTCTTTTAAGAATGTGGATTTTTTGGTCATCTTTGGCGCCCCCTAGAACGTAAACCGTGGGGTGCAGCGTCATGATTTTTACAACTTTGAATGGCCATGGGGTGTAGATTGGCCTGAGCAAATTTGGTTTCAGTGGGACGAAAGCCTTAGGAGGAGTTAGCCACATTCCAATGTGTGCGAATCGGCAAAAAATGCAAAATAGCCCTCTAACCGTACATTTGACAGATACGCACCCATTGACTTTTTCGTAGATCTTATTGAGATACACGTGATTGTCAAATTTTGTGTCAATATGACAAAGCGTACAGGTGTCACACTCAACAATGTGAATTTTCACCTTACGGGACAAGAAAAAATGGACTTTTTTCTCCTGCCATGGGGGGGCGCTCTTTTGGGGAGTAAAAATTCCTTCACAAATGTGTTGATGGCTGGACATTGCATCATCCTAGAAAACTTGGAGGCCAGTGAGGACAAAAATAAAAAGTTATAAGACTTTGAAATATGTGGATTTTAGGGTTATCTTTGGCGCCCCCTAGAACCTAAACCGTGGGGTGCAGCGTCATGATTTGAATAAATTTTAATGGCCATGGGGTGTAGATTGGCCTGAGCAAATGTGGTGCCGGTGGAAAGAAAGCCTTCGGAGGAGTTAGCGAAATTCCAATGTGTGCGGATCGGCAAAAAATGCGGAATAACCCTTTAACCGTACATTTGACAGATACGCCCGCACTGACTTTTTTGTAGATCTTATTGAGATACATATGTGTGTCAATTTTTGTGTCATTTTGACAAAGCGTAAAGGCGTGACAGTCAATAGTGTGAATTTTCACCTTAGGGGGCGCTATGGAGCCATTTTGCATTTTCTTGTTTGGGCGACTCCGGAATATCAAATTTTTCACCAGGCCCGGTCATCCTGCCAAATTTCATGAGTTTTCGCCAGTGGGAAGTGGGCCATTTTCCAGTTCAAAGGGGAGGAAAAAGAAGAAAGAAAGAAAGAAAGAAAGAAACAAAGAAAAACCACTTGGGGAATAATAGGGCTCTCGCAGCTGCTTAGCAGCTACGCTCGGGCCCTAATAACTAGGACCCCGTTGGGGCACTGGCGGGCCCGAGCCGTGTCACGTCTCCCCCCCCCCCTTTGAGCCCCTGCTACTGTATAATCATGTGCATGTCTCTGTTCTAGCTCCAAGGTGAATCTTCACTGCTCATGTTCTCCTCAGAAGCAGTCACCTCACTCCCCTCAGGTTACTGTACACATGCACCAACTGCCTGCTTCAGGTTTGGATGGAGCTTCATGGTTGTCTTTTGGAGAAATGACCAGTCAAGTTGTGTTTGAAATTTGATTTTTTTCAGGGGCAAAAGGAGCCTCTGCATTCTTGTCAAATATGTAAATAGCATGTTTTTGCAGGTGCTAAAAACCAGACTCTGAGTGTGTGTGTGTGTGTGTGTGTGTGTGTGTGTGTGTGTGTGTGTGCGCGTGCGTGTGTGTGTGTCTATGTGTGCGTTCAAGTCACATGACATATTTAACCGGATGTAGCTGCAAGACGGAGCCTCGTTGACTCTCCGTTTCAACTTATCTCAAAAGTGAGGACCTCAACCTATATACCAGTTTTTAAATTGTGTTGATAGGCCAAATAAAACCAGAGTTATGATAAATTATGTCCGCGATACTTTTTTTCTGCTTATTTTGATCATGTTCGGCGCTCGATCGCGCTGTATGAGACAGGAAAACATAGCATGCAGACATTAGCGACAGGTCTTACAGGCGGAAAAGGCTTGCCAAAAGAAAAAAAAAAACACACCACAACATCTCTCCTATTGGTGGAAAACTTCACCACAACAACCAATCCAAAATTATATGGTGACTGATTGACAAGGGGCGGGCGCTTACGTTCTTCCTGCAACATGAGAAGGGAGGGAGGGACTCTCAGCAGGGATGCAGTCTGGGACACGTAGTTGCAAACCTAGCAACTTTGTTGTTAGATTCAATGACTTTTCAGACCCCCTAACGACTTTTTTTAGAAAGAAAGGGACTTTTATCGACTTCTTCTGGAGTTTAGAGACTCTGACATGAAGCAGGCTTTCCTTACTGAGGAGTTAGCAACGCTGCTAAGGGTGCAGAGCTACACATGCGCTCAGAGCTCTGCATGGGAGACTGAAGCTGACAGAGCTGCAGCAGTTAGCAGGTTTCACCCTCAGAGACCACCAGGGGTTCATGTTGAGGCATTTTAAATTTTTTTTTTTTTTTTGTGCCATAGACACTGTCAGCACAATCTGCAGTTACACTAACAAAAATGCTGCAAAAAACAAAGAATTATGGAAAAATTACACATGGACTGACATAGAGGAGGATCTACACAAGTTTTTTACATCATGTTTTACATCATGCATCATTTACATCATGTTTTTTTGTAGTGGCATAAATAAAAAGTGACATTTGTGAGACTATACAGTGTTTTGTAAATAATTTTACAAAGAACACCTGGGCCATTGCCTGCATTTTGATGTAAATAGAGGTAAATCACTATGTTCTTTGTTAAAAATTTGCATATGTTTTGAAGTTTACAATTTTTATTTGAAGTTTAAGTTTTAAAAACAGTTCATCACACATATTTGTGGTTTTCACAGTAAAAATGTTACTTTTTTCCACTCGGATTTTATGTTTTGTGTGTGAATTTGGGTCCATTGTGTAAATTCAGTAAGTCAACATGATAAAATAACTGTAAATTCGCACAGGTGAGGTTGTGCTGAAAAAAATGATACCAGGCAAGGCACGTGATTGTCAAATTTTGTGTCAATATGACAAAGCGTATAGGCGTGAATCTCAACAATATGTATTTTCACCTTAGGGGACAAGAAAAAATGGACTTTTTTCTCCTGCCATGGGGGGCGCTCTTTTGGGGAGTAAAAATTCCTTCACAAATGTGTTGATGGCTGGACATTGCATCATCCTAGAAAACTTGGAGGCCAGTGAGGACAAAAATAAAAAGTTATAAGACTTTTAAATATGTGGATTTTAGGGTTATCTTTGGCGCCCCCTAGAACCTAAACCGTGGGGTGCAGCGTCATGATTTGAATAACTTTTAATGGCCATGGGGTGTAGATTGGCCTGAGCAAATGTGGTGCCGGTGGAACGAAAGCCTTAGGAGGAGTTAGCCACATTCCAATGTGTGCGAATCGGCAAGAAATGCGGAATAACCCTTTAACCGTACATTTGACAGATACGCGCGCATTGACTTTTTCGTAGATCTTATTGAGTTACATGTGTGTGTCAATTTTTGTGTCATTTTGACAAAGCGTATAGGCGTGACACTCAACAATGTGTATTTTCACCTTAGGGGACAAGAAAAAATGGACTTTTTTCTCCTGCCATGGGGGGGCGCTCTTTTGGGGAGTAAAAATTCCTTCACAAATGTGTTGATGGCTGGACATTGCATCATCCTAGAAAACTTGGAGGCCAGTGAGGACAAAAATAAAAAGTTATAAGACTTTTAAATATGTGGATTTTAGTGTTATCTTTGTCGCCCCCTAGAACCTAAACCGTGGGGTGCAGCGTCATGATTTTGATAACTTTTAATGGCCACGGGGTGTAGATTGGCCTGAGCAAATGTGGTGCCGGTGGAACGAAAGCCTTCGGAGGAGTTAGCGAAATTCCAATGTGTGCGGATCGGCAAAAAATGCGAAATAACCCTTTAACCGTAATTTTGACAGATACGGCCGCACTGACTTTTTTGTAGATCTTATTGAGATACATATGTGTGTCAATTTTTGTGTCAATATGACAAAGCGTACAGGCGTGACAGTCAATAGTGTGAATTTACACCTTAGGGGGCGCTATGGAGCCATTTTGCATTTTATTGTTTGGGCGACTTCAGAATATCGAATTTTTCACCAGGCCCGGTCGTCCTGCCAAATTTCATGAGTTTTCGCCAGTGGGAAGTGGGCCATTTTCCAGTTCAAAGGGGAGGAAAAAGAAGAAAGAAAGAAAGAAAGAAAGAAACTAGGGCCCCGGTGGGGCACTGTCGGGCCCGAGCCGCGTCGCGCCGCCCCCAGCGCGACCGCCTCCCCCTCCCGATCGCGTCACACTCAAGGTCCAAAGATGGTGTGCGCACTTGTCTGTGGTCATTTCCCATTATAATGAATGGGAGGCGCAGTTTCTACCAAAACACTCGCTGCAGACAAACTTCATGTCCTATTTGAAAAAAGTCTGGACCATGAGTGAGGGCACAAACACAGCTATGATATATCGAAATGGCAGGTTGCTCCTCCTTACGGTGTTGCCTGGAGAGCGATGCGATTGAGCCATTGAGCGATGGGCAGGGTAAACTTGACTTTTTCTCCTGCCTTGGGGGGGGGGGGGGGGATGTGGATTCCTTTAAGAATGTGGATTTTTGGGTCATCTTTGGCGCCCCCTAGAACGTAAACCGTGGGGTGCAGCGTCATGATTTGAATAACTTTTAATGGCCATGGGGTGTAGATTGGCCTGAGCAAATGTGGTGCCGGTGGAACGAAAGCCTTCGGAGGAGTTAGCGAAATTCCAATGTGTGCGGATCGGCAAATAATGCGGAATAACCCTTTAACCGTACATTTGACAGATACGCGCGCATTGACTTTTTCGTAGATCTTATTGAGATACATGTGTGTGTCAATTTTTGTGTCATTTTGCCAAAGCGTACAGGTGTTACACTCAACAATGTGTATTTTCACCTTAGGGGACAAGAAAAAATGGACTTTTTTCTCCTGCCATGGGGGGGCGCTCTTTTGGGGAGTAAAAATTCCTTCACAAATGTGTTGATGGCTGGACATTGCATCATCCTAGAAAACTTGGAGGCCAGTGAGGACAAAAATAAAAAGTTATAAGACTTTTAAATATGTGGATCTTAGGGTTATCTTTGGCGCCCCCTAGAACCTAAACCGTGGGGTGCAGCGTCATGATTTGAATAACTTTTAATGGCCATGGGGTGTAGATTGGCCTGAGCAAATGTGGTGCCGGTGGAACGAAAGCCTTCGGAGGAGTTAGCGAAATTCCAATGTGTGCGGATCGGCAAAAAATGCGAAATAACCCTTTAACCATACATTTGACAGATACGCCCACACTGACTTTTTTGTAGATCTTATTGAGATACATGTGTGTGTCAATTTTTGTGTCATTTTGACAAAGCGTACACGCGTGACAGTCAATAGTGTGAATTTTCACCTTAGGGGGCGCTATGGAGCCATTTTGCATTTTCTTGTTTGGGCGACTTCGGAATATCAAATTTTTCACCAGGCCCGGTCGTCCTGCCAAATTTCATGAGTTTTCGCCAGTGGGAAGTGGGCCATTTTCCAGTTCAAAGGGGAGGAAAAATAATAATAATAACAAAAGAAGGAAACATGCAGGAACAAGAGGGCTCTCGCAGCTGCTTAGCAGCTACGCTCGGGCCCTAACAAAGAAAAACCTCTTGGGGAATAATAGGGCTCTCGCAGCTGCTTAGCAGCTACGCTCGGGCCCTAATAATAACAAAAGAAGGAAACTACAGGAACAAGAGGGCTCTCGCAGCTGCTTAGCAGCTACGCTCGGGCCCTAAGAAAGAACTAGGACCCCGTTGGGGCACTGGCGGGCCCGAGCCGTGTCGCCCCCCCCCCCCCCAACGTGCTGCCTCCCCGTCCCATTTGTGTCCTCTGGCCATCGCCCTCTCTGGTAACGCCCATCACTGCAAAGACCTTTTTCCTTCATCGGCGTTTGCTGTTCTTCCTGCCAGTGCGTGTTGCTTTCACTTACACTTGCCACAGCCAGCCTCGTGAGTGCCTAGCCTATTGGATATCACTGTCACCTACACAGGACAGTCATTACCTTTCTATTAATACTTTGTGTTTTAATTTCACATTAATTTCCATATTGTATAAACGACTGGAAAAAACTTGAGCCCCTGCCCCTGTATAATCATGTGCATGTCTCTGTTCTAGCTCCAAGGTGAATCTTCACTGCTCATGTTCTCCTCAGAAGCAGTCACCTCACTCCCCTCAGGTTACTGTACACATGCACCAACTGCCTGCTTCAGGTTTGGATGGAGCTTCATGGTTGTCTTTTGGAGAAATGACCAGTCAAGTTGTGTTTGAAATTTGATTTTTTTCAGGGGCAAAAGGAGCCTCTGCATTCTTGAAAAATATGTAAATAGCATGTTTTTGCAGGTGCTAAAAACCAGACTCTGAGTGTGTGTGTGTGTGTGTGTGTGTGTGTGTGTGTGCGTGTGTATGTGTCTGTGTGTGCGTTCAAGTCACATGACATATTTAACCGGATGTAGCTGCAAGACGGAGCCTCGTTGACTCTCCATTTCAATTTATCTCAAAAGTGAGGACCTCAACCTATATACCAGTTTTTAAATTGTGTTGATAGGCCAAATAAAACCAGAGTTATGATAAATTATGTCCGCGATACTTTTTTTCTGCTTATTTTGATCACGTTCGGCGCTCGATCGCGCTGTATGAGACAGGAAAACATAGCATGCAGACATTAGCGACAGGTCTTACAGGCGGAAAAGGCTTGCCAAAAGAAAAAAAAAACACACCACAACATCTCTCCTATTGGTGGAAAACTTCACCACAACAACCAATCCAAAATTATATGGTGACTGATTGACAAGGGGCGGGCGCTTACGTTCTTCCTGCAACATGAGAAGGGAGGGAGGGACTCTCAGCAGGGATGCAGTCTGGGACACGTAGTTGCAAACCTAGCGACTTTGTTGTTAGATTCAATGACTTTTCAGACCCCCTAACGACTTTTTTTTAGAAAGAAAGGGACTTTTATCGACTTCTTCTGGAGTTTAGAGACTCTGACATGAAGCAGGCTTTCCTTACTGAGGAGTTAGCAACGCTGCTAAGGGTGCAGAGCCACACATGCGCTCAGAGCTCTGCATGGGAGACTGAAGCTGACAGAGCTGCAGCAGTTAGCAGGTTTGACCCTCAGAGACCACCAGGGGTTCATGTTGAGGCATTTTAAATTTTTTTTTTTTTTTGTGCCATAGACACTGTCAGCACAATCTGCAGTTACACTAACAAAAATGCTGCAAAAAACAAAGAATTATGGAAAAATTACACATGGACTGACATAGAGGAGGATCTACACAAGTTTTTTACATCATGTTTTACATCATGCATCATTTACATCATGTTTTTTTGTAGTGGCATAAATAAAAAGTGACATTTGTGAGACTATACAGTGTTTTGTAAATAATTTTACAAAGAACGCCTGGGCCATTGCCTGCATTTTGATGTAAATAGAGGTAAATCACTATGTTCTTTGTTAAAAATTTGCATATGTTTTGAAGTTTACAATTTTTATTTGAAGTTTAAGTTTTAAAAACAGTTCATCACACATATTTGTGGTTTTCACAGTAAAAATGTTACTTTTTTCCACTCGGATTTTATGTTTTGTGTGTGAATTTGGGTCCATTGTGTAAATTCAGTATGTCAACATGATAAAATAACTGTAAATTCGCACAGGTGAGGTTGTGCTGAAAAAAATGATACCAGGCAAGGCACGTGATTGTCAAATTTTGTGTCAATATGACAAAGCGTATAGGCGTGAATCTCAACAATATGTATTTTCACCTTAGGGGACAAGAAAAAATGGACTTTTTTCTCCTGCCATGGGGGGGCGCTCTTTTGGGGAGTAAAAATTCCTTCACAAATGTGTTGATGGCTGGACATTGCATCATCCTAGAAAACTTGGAGGCCAGTGAGGACAAAAATAAAAAGTTATAAGACTTTTAAATATGTGGATTTTAGGGTTATCTTTGGCGCCCCCTAGAACCTAAACCGTGGGGTGCAGCGTCATGATTTGAATAACTTTTAATGGCCATGGGGTGTAGATTGGCCTGAGCAAATGTGGTGCCGGTGGAACGAAAGCCTTAGGAGGAGTTAGCCACATTCCAATGTGTGCGGATCGGCAAAAAATGCGGAATAACCCTTTAACCGTACATTTGACAGATACGCGCGCATTGACTTTTTCGTAGATCTTATTGAGTTACATGTGTGTGTCAATTTTTGTGTCATTTTGACAAAGCGTATAGGCGTGACAGTCAACAATGTGTATTTTCACCTTAGGGGACAAGAAAAAATGGACTTTTTTCTCCTGCCATGGGGGGGCGCTCTTTTGGGGAGTAAAAATTCCTTCACAAATGTGTTGATGGCTGGACATTGCATCATCCTAGAAAACTTGGAGGCCAGTGAGGACAAAAATAAAAAGTTATAAGACTTTTAAATATGTGGATTTTAGTGTTATCTTTGGCGCCCCCTAGAACCTAAACCTTGGGGTGCAGCGTCATGATTTTGATAACTTTTAATGGCCACGGGGTGTAGATTGGCCTGAGCAAATGTGGTGCCGGTGGAACGAAAGCCTTAGGAGGAGTTAGCGAAATTCCAATGTGTCCGGATCGGAAAAAAATGCGAAATAACCCTTTAACCGTACATTTGACAAATACGTCCGAACTGACTTTTTTGTAGATCTTATTGAGATACATGTGTGTGTCAATTTTTGTGTCAATATGACAAAGCGTACAGGCGTGACAGTCAATAGTGTGAATTTCCACCTTAGGGGGCGCTATGGAGCCATTTTGCATTTTATTGTTTGGGCGACTTCAGAATATCGAATTTTTCACCAGGCCCGGTCGTCCTGCCAAATTTCATGAGTTTTCGCCAGTGGGAAGTGGGCCATTTTCCAGTTCAAAGGGGAGGAAAAAGAAGAAACTAGGACCCCGTTGGGGCACTGGCGGGCCCGGGCCGTGTCGCGTCCCCCCCCCAACGTGCTGCCTCCCCGTCCCATTTGTGTCCTCTGGCCATCGCCCTCTCTGGTAACGCCCATCACTGCAAAGACCCTTTTCCTTCATCGGCGTTTGCTGTTCTTCCTGCCAGTGCGTGTTGCTTTCACTTACACTTGCCACAGCCAGCCTCGTGAGTGCCTAGCCTATTGGATATCACTGTCACCTACACAGAACAGTCATTACCTTTCTATTAATACTTTGTGTTTTAATTTCACATTAATTTCCATATTGTATAAACGACTGGAAAAAACTTGAGGCCCTGCCCCTGTATAATCATGTGCATGTCTCTGTTCTAGCTCCAAGGTGAATCTTCACTGCTCATGTTCTCCTCAGAAGCACTCACCTCACTCCCCTCAGGTTACTGTACACATGCACCAACTGCCTGCTTCAGGTTTGGATGGAGCTTCATGGTTGTCTTTTGGAGAAATGACCAGTCAAGTTGTGTTTGAAATTTGATTTTTTTCAGGGGCAAAAGGAGCCTCTGCATTCTTGTCAAATATGTAAATAGCATGTTTTTGCAGGTGCTAAAAACCAGACTCTGAGTGTGTGTGTGTGTGTGTGTGTGTGTGTGTGTGTGTGTGTGCGTGTGTGTGTGTCTGTGTGTGCGTTCAAGTCACATGACATATTTAACCGGATGTAGCTGCAAGACGGAGCCTCGTTGACTCTCCGTTTCAACTTATCTCAAAAGTGAGGACCTCAACCTATATACCAGTTTTTAAATTGTGTTGATAGGCCAAATAAAACCAGAGTTATGATAAATTATGTCCGCGATACTTTTTTTCTGCTTATTTTGATCACGTTCGGCGCTCGCTCGCGCTGTATGAGACAGGAAAACATAGCATGCAGACATTAGCGACAGGTCTTACAGGCGGAAAAGGCTTGCCAAAAGAAAAAAAAAACACACCACAACATCTCTCCTATTGGTGGAAAACTTCACCACAACAACCAATCCAAAATTATATGGTGACTGATTGACAAGGGGCTGGCGCTTACGTTCTTCCTGCAACATGAGAAGCGAGGGAGGGACTCTCAGCAGGGATGCAGTCTGGGACACGTAGTTGCAAACCTAGCGACTTTGTTGTTAGATTCAATGACTTTTCAGACCCCCTAACGACTTTTTTTTAGAAAGAAAGGGACTTTTATCGACTTCTTCTGGAGATTAGAGACTCTGACATGAAGCAGGCTTTCCTTACTGAGGAGTTAGCAACGCTGCTAAGGGTGCAGAGCCACACATGCGCTCAGAGCTCTGCATGGGAGACTGAAGCTGACAGAGCTGCAGCAGTTAGCAGGTTTCACCCTCAGAGACCACCAGGGGTTCATGTTGAGGCATTTAAATTTTTTTTTTTTTTGTGCCATAGACACTGTCAGCACAATCTGCAGTTACACTAACAAAAATGCTGCAAAAAACAAAGAATTATGGAAAAATTACACATGGACTGACATAGAGGAGGATCTACACAAGTTTTTTACATCATGTTTTACATCATGCATCATTTACATCATGTTTTTTTGTAGTGGCATAAATAAAAAGTGACATTTGTGAGACTATACAGTGTTTTGTAAATAATTTTACAAAGAACGCCTGGGCCATTGCCTGCATTTTGATGTAAATAGAGGTAAATCACTATGTTCTTTGTTAAAAATTTGCATATGTTTTGAAGTTTACAATTTTTATTTGAAGTCTAAGTTTTAAAAACAGTTCATCACACATATTTGTGGTTTTCACAGTAAAAATGTTACTTTTTTCCACTCGGATTTTATGTTTTGTGTGTGAATTTGGGTCCATTGTGTAAATTCAGTATGTCAACATGATAAAATAACTGTAAATTCGCACAGGTGAGGTTGGGCTGAAAAAAATGATACCAGGCAAGGCACGTGATTGTCAAATTTTGTGTCAATATGACAAAGCGTATAGGCGTGAATCTCAACAATATGTATTTTCACCTTAGGGGACAAGAAAAAATGGACTTTTTTCTCCTGCCATGGGGGGCGCTCTTTTGGGGAGTAAAAATTCCTTCACAAATGTGTTGATGGCTGGACATTGCATCATCCTAGAAAACTTGGAGGCCAGTGAGGACAAAAATAAAAAGTTATAAGACTTTTAAATATGTGGATTTTAGGGTTATCTTTGGCGCCCCCTAGAACCTAAACCGTGGGGTGCAGCGTCATGATTTGAATAACTTTTAATGGCCATGGGGTGTAGATTGGCCTGAGCAAATGTGGTGCCGGTGGAACGAAAGCCTTAGAGGAGTTAGCCACATTCCAATGTGTGCGGATCGGCAAAAAATGCGGAATAACCCTTTAACCGTACATTTGACAGATACGCACGCATTGACTTTTTCGTAGATCTTATTGAGTTACATGTGTGTGTCAATTTTTGTGTAATTTTGACAAAGCGTATAGGCGTGACACTCAACAATGTGTATTTTCACCTTAGGGGACAAGAAAAAATGGACTTTTTTCTCCTGCCATGGGGGGGCGCTCTTTTGGTGAGTAAAAATTCCTTCACAAATGTGTTGATGGCTGGACATTGCATCATCCTAGAAAACTTGGAGGCCAGTGAGGACAAAAATAAAAAGTTATAAGACTTTTAAATATGTGGATTTTAGTGTTATCTTTGGCGCCCCCTAGAACCTAAACCTTGGGGTGCAGCGTCATGATTTTGATAACTTTTAATGGCCACGGGGTGTAGATTGGCCTGAGCAAATGTGGTGCCGGTGGAACGAAAGCCTTCGGAGGAGTTAGCGAAATTCCAATGTGTGCGGATCGGCAAAAAATGCGAAATAACCCTTTAACCGTAATTTTGACAGATACGGCCGCACTGACTTTTTTGTAGATCTTATTGAGATACATATGTGTGTCAATTTTTGTGTCAATATGACAAAGCGTACAGGCGTGACAGTCAATAGTGTGAATTTCCACCTTAGGGGGCGCTATGGAGCCATTTTGCATTTTATTGTTTGGGCGACTTCAGAATATCGAATTTTTCACCAGGCCCAGTCGTCCTGCCAAATTTCATGAGTTTTCGCCAGTGGGAAGAGGGCCATTTTCCAGTTCAAAGGGGAGGAAAAAGAAGAAAGAAAGAAAGAACTAGGGCCCCGGTGGGGCACTGTCGGGCCCGAGCCGCGTCGCGCCGCCCCCAGCGTGACCGCCTCCCCCTCCCAATCGCGTCACACTCAAGGTCCAAAGATGGTGTGCGCACTTGTCTGTAGTCATTTCCCATTATAATGAATGGGAGGCGCAGTTTCTACCAAAACACTCGCTGCAGACAAACTTCATGTCCTATTTGAAAAAAGTCTGGACCATGAGTGAGGGCACAAACACAGCTGGGATATATATCCAAATGGCAGGTTGCTCCTCCTTACGGTTTTGCCTGGAGAGCGATGCGATTGAGCCATTGAGCGATGGGCAGGAAAAACTTGACTTTTGCTCGTGCCATGGGGGGGGGGAATGTGGATTCTTTTAAGAATGTGGATTTTTGGGTCATCTTTGGCGCCCCCTAGAACGTAAACCGTGGGGTGCAGCGTCATGATTTTTACAACTTTGAATGGTCATGGGGTGTAGATTGGCCTGAGCAAATTTGGTTTCAGTGGGACGAAAGCCTTAGGAGGAGTTAGCCACATTCCAATGTGTGCGAATCGGCAAAAAATAAAAAATAGCCCTCTAACCGTACATTTGACAGATACGCATGCATTGACTTTTTCGTAGATCTTATTGAGATACACGTGATTGTCAAATTTTGTGTCAATATGACAAAGCGTACAGGTGTCACACTCAACAATGTGAATTTTCACCTTACGGGACAAGAAAAAATTGACTTTTTTCTCCTGCCATGGGGGGGGCGCTCTTTTGGGGAGTAAAAGTTCCTTCACAAATGTGTTGATGGCTGGACATTGCATCATCCTAGAAAACTTGGAGGCCAGTGAGGACAAAAATAAAAAGTTATAAGACTTTGAAATATGTGGATTTTAGGGTTATCTTTGGCGCCCCCTAGAACCTAAACCGTGGGGTGCAGCGTCATGATTTGAATAACTTTTAATGGCCATGGGGTGTAGATTGGCCTGAGCAAATGTGGTGCCGGTGGAACGAAAGCCTTCGGAGGAGTTAGCGAAATTCCAATGTGTGCGGATCGGCAAAAAATGCGGAATAACCCTTTAACCGTACATTTGACAGATATGCGCGCATTGACTTTTTCGTAGATCTTATTGAGATACACGTGTGTGTCAATTTTTGTGTCATTTTGCCAAAGCGTACAGGCGTGACACTCAACAATGTGTATTTTCACCTTAGGGGTCAAGAAAAAATGGACTTTTTTCTCCTGCCATGGGGGGGCGCTCTTTTGGGGAGTAAAAATTCCTTCACAGATGTGTTGATGGCTGGACATTGCATCATCCTAGAAAACTTGGAGGCCAGTGAGGACAAAAATAAAAAGTTATAAGACTTTTAAATATGTGGATTTTAGGGTTATTTTTGGCGCCCCCTAGAACATAAACCGTGGGGTGCAGCATCATGATTTGAATAACTTTGAATGGCCATGGGGTGTAGATTGGCCTGAGCAAATGTGGTGCCGGTGGAACTAAAGCCTTCGGAGGAGTTAGCGAAATTCCAATGTGTGCAGATCTGCAAAAAATGCAAAATAACCCATTAACCGTACATTTGACAGATACGCCCGCACTGACTTTTTTGTAGATCTTATTGAGATACATGTGTGTGTCAATTTTTGTGTCAATATGACAAAGCGTACAGCCGTCATGTGAATTTTCACCTTAGGGGGCGCTATGGAGCCATTTTGCATTTTATTGTTTGGGCGACTTCGGAATATCAAATTTTTCACCAGGCCCGGTCGTCTTGCCAAATTTCATGAGTTTTCGCCAGTGGGAAGTGGGCCATTTTCCAGTTCAAAGGGGAGGAAAAAGAAAAAAGAAACAAAGAAAACTAGGGCCCCGTTGGGGCACTGGCGGGCCCGAGCCGTGTCGCGCTGCCCCCCCCAACGCGCTGCCTCCCCGTCCCATTCGCGTCCTCTCTGGTAACGCCCATCACTGCAAAGACCCTTTCCTTCATCGGCGTTTGCTGTTGTTCCTGCCAGTGCGTGTTGCTTTCACTTACACTTGCCACAGCCAGCCTCGTGAGTGCCTAGCCTATTGGATATCACTGTCATCTACACAGGACAGTCATAACCTTTCTATTAATACTTTGTTTTTTAATTTCACATTAATTTCCATATTGTATAAATGACTGGAAAAAACTTGAGCCCCTGCCCCTGTATAATCATGTGCACGTCCCTGTTCTAGCTCCAAGGTGAATCTTCACTGCTCATGTTCTCCTCAGAAATAGTCACCTCACTCCCCTCAGGTTACTGTACACATGCACCAACTATCTGCTTCAGGTTTGGATGGAGCTTCATGGTTGTCTTTTGGAGAAATGACCAGTCAAGTTGTGTTTGAAATTTGATTTTTTTCAGGGGCAAAAGGAAGCCTCTGCATTCTTGTCAAATATGTAAACAGCATGTTTTTGCAGGTGCTAAAAAACAGACTCTGAGTGTGTGTGTGTGTGTGTGTGTGTGTGTGTGTGTGTGTGTGTGTGTGTGTGTGTGTGTGTGTGTGTTGGCGTGTGTGTATATGTGTGTGTATCCTGCAGTACTCTGTACTCCTGCAGTGGCCAAAAAGACTTTTAAGAATGTGGATTTTTGGGTCATCTTTGGCGCCCCCTAGAACTGCAGTACTCTGTACTCCTGCAGTGGCCAAAATGACTTGTAAGAATGTGGATTTTTGGGTCATCTTTGGCGCCCCCTAGAACTGCAGTACTCTGTACTCCTGCAGTGGCCAAAAGGACTTTTAAGAATGTGGATTTTTGGGTCATCTTTGGCGCCCCCTAGAACGTAAACCGTGGGGTGCAGCGTCATGATTTTTACAACTTTGAATGGGCATGGGGTGTAGAATGCCCTGAGCAAATTTGGTATCAGTGGGACGAAAGCCTTAGGAGGAGATAGCCACATTCCAATGTGTGCGAATCGGCAAAAAATGCGAAATAGCCCTTTAACCGTACATTATACAGATACGCGCTCTTTGACTTTTTCGTAGAGCTAATTGAGATACACATGATTGTCAATTTTTGTGTCAATATGACAAAGCGTTCAGGCGTGACACTCAACAATGTGTATTTTCATGTAAGGGGACAAGAAAAAATTGACTTTTTTCTCCTGCCATGGGGGGGCGCTCTTTTGGGGAGTAAAAATTCCTTCACAAATGTGTTGATGGCTGGACATTGCATCATCCTAGAAAACTTGGAGGCCAGTGAGGACAAAAATAAAAAGTTATAAGACTTTTAAGAATGTGGATTTTTGGGTTATCTTTGGCGCCCCCTAGAACCTAAACCGTGGGGTGCAGCGTCATGATTTGTACAACTTTGAATGGCCATGGGGTGTAGACTGGCCTGAGCAAATGTGGTGCCGGTGGAACGAAAGCCTTCGGAGGAGTTAGCGAAATTCCAATGTGTGCGGATCGGCAAAAAATGCGAAATAACCCTTTAACCGTACATTTGACAGATACGCCCGCACTGACTTTTTTGTAGATCTTATTGAGATACATATGTGTGTCAATTTTTGTGTCAATATGACAAAACGTACAGACGTGACAGTCAATAGTGTGAATTTCCACCTTAGGGGGCGCTATGGAGCCATTTTGCATTTTATTGTTTGGGCGACTTCAGAATATCGAATTTTTCACCAGGCCCGGTCGTCCTGCCAAATTTCATGAGTTTTCGCCAGTGGGAAGTGGGCCATTTTCCAGTTTAAAGCGGAGGAAAAATAATAATAATAATAACTAGGGCCCCGTTGGGGCACTGGCGGGCCCGAGCCGTGTCGCGCTGCCCCCCCCAACGCGCTGCCTCCTTGTCCCATTCGCGTCCTCTGGCCATCGCCCTCTCTGGTAACGCCCATCACTGCAAAGACTCTTTCCTTCATCGGCGTTTGCTGTTCTTCCTGCCAGTGCGTGTTGCTTTCACTTACACTTGCCACAGCCAGCCTCGTGAGTGCCTAGCCTATTGGATATCACTGTCATCTACACAGGACAGTCATAACCTTTCTATTAATACTTGTTTTTTAATTTCACATTAATTTCAATATTGTATAAATGACTGGAAAAAACTTGAGCCCCTGCCCCTGTATAATCATGTGCACGTCCCTGTTCTAGCTCCAAGGTGAATCTTCACTGCTCATGTTCTCCTCAGAAGTAGTCACCTCACTTTCCTCAGGTGACTGTACACATGCACCAACTGCCTGCTTCAGGTTTGGATGGAGCTTCATGGTTGTCTTTTGGAGAAATGAGCAGTCAAGTTGTGTTTGAAATTTGATTTTTTTCAGGGGCAAAAAGGGGCCTCTGCATTCTAGTCAAATATGTAAATAGCATGTTTTTGCAGGTGCTAAAAAAAAGACTCTGAGTGTGTGTGTGTGTATATCCTGCAGTACTCTGAGAAGAATAATAAGCATATTTCTGAGGTGAATTTTGAAGATTCATCTGAGAGTTAGGAGGGCTGATCATTCCCTTACCCTTTAGATGTCTGTCTATGTCTGTTTTTGTGTGATAATGAAAGAATCCCAACTCAAAAAGGCTCTGTTGATGTTTTTTTTTTGTTGTTGTTCATTCATATTCAAACCACTATTTTATATCACTGCTAATACGCCAAGACCATTTTATGGAATTTAGCTTTATTATTTCTATACATTTTGCAAGGAAAGAAACCAAGGCCTTCACTAAAATTTCCATAAACTTTAGGAAAGGACCTCTGGTTGTTTAACGGGGTCATTACTGCAAAAACATATTCTTCCTAAATTTTGAAGGTCAAACCTTAGATCCATTAGGTTTAAATAGAAAAAGCATTAAAATATGTTAGGATTATAGCATATGACAAATATGTGCCTTTCAGTGGCCACAACTACTTTGTCTGCTGGCTCTGCAGTCGATTGACGCTCCCCAGCATTCAAGTCACATTACATATTTAACCGGATGTAGCAGCAAGACGGAGCCTCGTTGACTCTCCGTTTCAACTTATCTCAAAAGTGAGGACCTCAAACTATACACCAGTTTTCAAATTGTGTTGATAGGCCAAATAAAACCAGAGTTATGATAAATTATGTCCGCGATACTTTTTTTCTGCTTATTTTGATCACGTTCGGCGCTCGATCGCGCTGTATGAGACAGGAAAACATAGCATGCAGACATTAGCGACAGGTCTTACAGGCGGAAAAGGCTTGCCAAAGAAAAAAAAAAACACACCACAACATCTCTCCTATTGGTGGAAAACTTCACCACAACAACCAATCCAAAATTATATGGTGACTGATTGACAAAGGGGCGGGCGCTTACGTTCTTCCTGCAACATGAGAAGGGAGGGAGGAACTCTCAGCAGGGATGCAGTCTGGGACACGTAGTTGCAAACCTAGCGACTTTGTTGTTAGATTCAATGACTTTTCAGACCCCCTAACGACTTTTTTTTAGAAAGAAAGGGACTTTTATCGACTTCTTCTGGAGTTTAGAGACTCTGACATGAAGCAGGCTTTCCTTACTGAGGAGTTAGCAACGCTGCTAAGGGTGCAGAGCCACACATGCGCTCCGAGCTCTGCATGGGAGACTAAAGCTGACAGAGCTGCAGCAGTTAGCAGGTTTCACCCTCAGAGACCACCAGGGGTTCATGTTGAGGCATTTTCAGTTTTTTTTTTTTTTTGCCATAGACACTGTCAGCACAATCTGCAGTTACACTAACAAAAATGCTGCAAAAAACAAAGAATTATGGAAAAATTACACATGGACTGACATAGAGGAGGATCTACACAAGTTTTTTGCATCATGTTTTACATCATGCATCATTTACATCATGTTTTTTTGTAGTGGCATAAATAAAAATTGACATTTGTGAGACTATACAGTGTTTTGTAAATAATTTTACAAAGAACGCCTGGGCCATTGCCTGCATTTTGATGTAAATAGAGGTAAATTACTATGTTCTTTGTTAAAAATTTGCATATGTTTTGAAGTTTACAATTTTTATTTGAAGTTTAAGTTTTAAAAACAGTTCATCACACATATTTGTGGTTTAATTTCACATTAATTTCCATATTGTATAAATGACTGGAAAAAACTTGAGCCCCTGCCCCTGTATAATCATTTGCACGTCCCTGTTCTAGCTCCAAGGTGAATCTTCACTGCTCATGTTCTCCTCAGAAATAGTCACCTCACTCCCCTCAGGTTACTGTACACATGCACCAACTATCTGCTTCAGGTTTGAAATGGAGCTTCATGGTTGTCTTTTGGAGAAATGAACAGTCAAGTTGTGTTTGAAATTTGATTTTTTTCAGGGGCAAAAGGAAGCCTCTGCATTCTTGTCAAATATGTAAACAGCATGTTTTTGCAGGTGCTAAAAAACAGACTCTGAGTGTGTGTGTGTGTCTGTGTGTGTGTGTGTGTGTGTGTGTGTATGTTGGTGTGTGTGTATATGTGTGTGTATCCTGCAGTACTCTGTACTCCTGCAGTGGCCAAAATGACTTTTAAGAATGTGGATTTTTTTGGTCATCTTTGGCGCCCCCTAGAACGTAAACTGTGGGGTGCAGCGTCATGATTTTTACAACTTTGAATGGGCATGGGGTGTAGATTGCCCTGAGCAAATTTGGTATCGGTGGGACGAAAGCCTTAGGAGGAGATAGCCACATTCCAATGTGTGCGAATCGGCAAAAAATGCAAAATAGCCCTTTAACCGTACATTATACAGATACGCGCTCTTTGACTTTTTCGTAGATCTTATTGAGACACACCTGTGTGCCAAATTTTGTGTCATTTTGACAAAGTGTAGAGGCGTGACACTCAACAATGTGTATTTTCACCTTAGGGGACAAGAAAAAATGGACTTTTTTCTCCTGCCATGGGGGGGCGCTCTTTTGGGGAGTAAAAATTCCTTCACAAATGTGTTGATGGCTGGACATTGCATCATCCTAGAAAACTTGGAGGCCAGTGAGGACAAAAATAAAAAGTTATAAGACTTTTAAATATGTGGATTTTAGGGTTATCTTTGGCGCCCCCTAGAACCTAAACCGTGGGGTGCAGCGTCATGATTTGAATAACTTTTAATGGCCATGGGGTGCAGATTGGCCTGAGCAAATGTGGTGCCGGTGGAACAAAAGCCTTCGGAGGAGTTAGCGAAATTCCAATGTGTACGGATCGCCAAAAAATGCGAAATAGCCCTTTAACCGTACATTTGACAGATACGGCCGCACTGACTTTTTTGTAGATCTTATTGAGATACATATGTGTGTCAAATTTTGTGTCATTTTGACAAAGCGTACAGGCGTGACAGTCAATACTGTGAATTTCCACCTTAGGGGGCGCTATGGAGCCATTTTGCATTTTATTGTTTGGGCGACTTCAGAATATCAAATTTTTCACCAGGCCCGGTCGTCCTGCCAAATTTCATGAGTTTTCGCCAGTGGGAAGTGGGCCATTTTCCAGTTTAAAGGGGAGGAAAAATAATAATAATAACACTAGGGCCCCGGTGGGGCACTGTAGGGCCCGAGCCGCGTCGCGCCGCCCCCAGCGCGACCGCCTCCCCCTCCCGATCGCATCACACTCAAGGTCCAAAGATGGTGTGCGCACTTGTCTGTGGTCATTTCCCATTATAATGAATGGGAGGCGCAGTTTCTACCAAAACGCTCGCTGCAGACAAACTACATGTCCTATTTGAAAAAAGTCTGGACCATGAGTGAGGGCACAAACACAGCTAGGATATATCCAAACGGCAAGTTGCTCCTCCTTACGGTGTTGCCAGGAGAGCGATGCGATTGAGCCATTGAGCGATGGGCAGGGTTAACTGGACTTTTTCTCCTGCCTTGGGGGGGGGGGGATGTGGATTCTTTTAAGAATGTGGATATTTGGGTCATCTTTGGCGCCCCCTAGAACGTAAACCATGGGGTGCAGCGGCATGATTTTTACAACTTTGAATGGCCATGGGATGTAGATCGGCTTGAGCAAATTTGGTGTCGGTGGGAAGAAAGCCTTAGGAGGAGTTAGCCACATTCCAATGTGTGCGAATCGGCAAAAAATGCGAAATAGCCCTTTAACCGTACATTTTACAGATACGTGCCCATTGACTTTTTCGTAGATCTTATTGAGATACACGTGTGTGTCAAATTTTGGGTCAATATGACAAAGCGTATAGGCGTGACACTCAACAATGTGTATTTTCACCTTAGGGGACAAGAAAAAATGGACTTTTTTCTCCTGCCATGGGGGGGCGCTTTTTTCGGGAGTAAAAATTCCTTTACAAATGTGTTGATGGCTGGACATTGCATCATCCTAGAAAACTTGGAGGCCAGTAAGGACAAAAATAAAAAGTTATAAGACTATTAAGAATGTGGATTTTTGGGTTATCTTTGGCGCCCCCTAGAACCTAAACCGTGGAGTGCAGCGTCATGATTTGTACAACTTTCAATGGCCATGGGGTGTAGATTGGCCTGAGCAAATTTGGTGGCGGTGGAACTAAAGCCTTCGGAGGAGTTAGCGAAATTCCAATGTGTGCGGATCGGGAAAAAATGCGAAATAACCCTTTAACCGTACATTTTACAGATACGTGCCCATTGACTTTTTCGTAGATCTTATTGAGATACACGTGATTGTCAAATTTTGGGTCAATATGACAAAGCGTATAGGAGTGACACTCAACAATGTGTATTTTCACCTTAGGGGACAAGAAAAAATGGACTTTTTTCTCCTGCCATGTGGGGGCGCTCTTTTGGGGAGTAAAAATTCCTTCACAAATGTGTTGATGGCTGGACATTGCATCATCCTAGAGAACTTGGAGGCCAGTGAGGACAAAAATAAAAAGTTATAAGACTTTTAAGAATGTGGATTTTTTGGTTATCTTTGGCGCCCCCTAGAACCTAAACCGTAGGGTGCAGCGTCATGATTTGTACAACTTTCGATGGCCATGGGGTGTAGATTGGCCTGAGCAAATGTGGTGCCGGTGGAACGAAAGCCTTCGGAGGAGTTAGCGAAATTTCAATGTGTGCGGATCGGCAAAAAATGCGAAATAACCCTTTAACCGTACATTTGACAGATACGCCCGCACTGACTTTTTTGTAGATCTTATTGAGATACATGTGTGTGTCAATTTTTGTGTCAATATGACAAAGCGTACAGGCGTGACAGTCAATAGTGTGAATTTCCACCTTAGGGGGCGCTATGGAGCCATTTTGCATTTTATTGTTTGGGCGACTTCAGAATATCGAATTTTTCACCAGGCCCGGTCGTCCTGCCAAATTTCATGAGTTTTCGCCAGTGGGAAGTGGGCCATTTTCCAGTTTAAAGCGGAGGAAAAATAATAATAATAATAACAAAAGAAGAATCCATCAGGAACAAGAGGGCTCTCGCAGCTGCTTAGCAGCTACGCTCGGGCCCTAAAAAGAAGGAAACATGCAGGAACAAGAGGGCTCTCGCAGCTGCTTAGCAGCTACGCTCGGGCCCTAACAAAAGAAGAATCCATCAGGAACAAGAGGGCTCTCGCAGCTGCTTAGCAGCTACGCTCGGGCCCTAAAGAAAGAAAGAAACAAAGAAAAACCACTTGGGGAATAATAGGGCTCTCGCAGCTGCTTAGCAGCTACGCTCGGGCCCTAAGAAAGAAAGAAACAAAGAAACAAAGAAAAACCACTTGGGGAATAATAGGGCTCTCGCAGCTGCTTAGCAGCTACGCTCGGGCCCTAAAGAAAGAACTAGGGCCCCGGTGGGGCACTGGCGGGCCCGAGCCGTGTCGCGCCGCCCCCAGCGCGACCGCCTCCCCCTCCCTATCGCGTCACACTCAAGGTCCTCAAGGACCACTTGTCTGTGGTCATTTACCATTATAATGAATGGGATGCGCAGTTTCTACCACAATGCTTGCTGCAGACAAACTACATGTCCTATTTGAAAAAAGTGTGGACCATGAGTGAGGGCACAAACACAGCTAAGATATATCCAAATGGCAAGTTGCTCCTCTTTTTGGTTTTGCCGAGAGAGCGATGCGTTTGAGCCATTGAGCGATGGGCAGGAAAAACTTGACTTTTTCTCCTCCCATGGGGGGGCGCTCTTTTGGGGAAACATAATTCCTTCACAAATGTGTTGCTGGCTGGACATTGCATCATCCTAGAAAACTTGGAGGCCAGTGAGGACAAAAATAAAAAGTTATAAGACTTTTAAATATGTGGATTTTTGGGTTATCTTTGGCGCCCCCTAGAACCTAAACCGTGGGGTGCAGCGTCATGATTTGAATAACTTTTAATGACCATGGGGTGTAGATTGGCCTGAGCAAATGTGGTGCCGGTGGAACCAAAGCCTTCGGAGGAGTTAGCGAAATTCCAATGTGTGCAGATCGGCAAAAAATGCGGAATAACCCTTTAACCGTACATTTGACAGATACGCGCGCATTGACTTTTTATAGATCTTATTGAGATACATGTGTGTGTCAATTTTTGTGTCATTTTGACAAAGCGTACAGGCGTGACACTCTACAATGTGTATTTTCACCTTAGGGGACAAGAAAAAATGGACTTTTTTCTCCTGCCATGGGGGGGGCGCTCTTTTGGGGAGTAAAAATTCCTTCACAAATGTGTTGACGGCTGGACATTGCATCATCCTAGAAAACTTGGAGGCCAGTGGGGACAACAATAAAAAGTTATAAGACTTTTAAATATGTGGATTTTACGGTTATCTTTGGCGCCCCCTAGAACCTAAACCGTGGGGTGCAGCGTCATGATTTGAATAACTTTTAATGGCCATGGGGTGTAGATTGGCCTGAGCAAATTTGGTGTCAGTGGGACAAAAGGCCAGTGAGGACAAAAATAAAAAGTTATAAGACTTCAAAAAATGTGGATATTTGGGTCATCTTTGGCGCCCCCTAGAACGTAAACCGTGGGGTGCAGCGTCATGATTTGAATAACTTTTAATGGCCATGGGGTGTAGATTGGCCTGAACAAATGTGGTGCCGGTGGAACGAAAGCCTTAGGAGGAGTTAGCCACATTCCAATGTGTGCGGATCAGCAAAAAATGCGGAATAACCCTTTAACCGTACATTTGACAGATACGCGCGCATTGACTTTTTCGTAGATCTTATTGAGATACATGTGTGTGTCAATTTTTGTGTCATTTTGACAAAGCGTACAGGCGTGACACTCAACAATGTGTATTTTCACCTAAGGGGACAAGAAAAAATGGACTTTTTTCTCCTGCCATGGGGGGGGGCGCTCTTTTGAGGAGTAAAAATTCCTTCACAAATGTGTTGATGGCTGGACATTGCATCATCCAAGAAAACTTGGAGGCCAGTGAGGACAAAAATAAAAAGTTATAAGACTTTTAAGAATGTGGATATTTGGGTCATCTTTGGCGCCCCCTAGAACGTAAACCGTGGGGTGCAGCGTCATGATTTGAATAACTTTTAATGGCCATGGGGTGTAGATTGGCCTGAGCAAATGTGGTGCCGGTGGAACGAAAGCCTTCGGAGGAGTTAGCGAAATTCCAATGTGTGCGGATCGACAAAAAATGCGAAATAACCCTTTAACCGTACATTTGACAGATACGCGCACATTGACTTTTTCGTAGATCTTATTGAGATACATGTGTGTGTCAATTTTTGTGTCATTTTGACAAAGCGTACAGGCGTGACACTCAACAATGTGTATTTTCACCTTAGGGGACAAGAAAAAATGGACTTTTTTCTCCTGCCATGGGGGGGCGCTCTTTTGGGGAGTCAAAATTCCTTCACAAATGTGTTGATGGCTGGACATTGCATCATCCTAGAAAACTTGGATGCCAGTGAGGACAAAAATAAAAAGTTATAAGACTTTTAAATATGTGGATTTTAGGGTTATTTTTGGCGCCCCCTAGAACATAAACCGTGGGGTGCAGCGTCATGATTTGAATAACTTTTAATGGCCATGGGGTGTAGATTGGCCTGAGCAAATGTGGCGCTGGTGGAACGAAAGCCTTCGGAGGAGTTAGCGAAATTCCAATGTGTGCGGATCGGCAAAAAATGCGAAATAACCCTTTAACCGTACATTTGACAGATACGCCCGCACTGACTTTTTTGTAGATCTTATTGAGATACATATGTGTGTCAAATTTTGTCTCAATATGACAAAGCGTACAGGCGTGACAGTCAATAGTGTGAATTTACACCTTAGGGGGCGCTATGGAGCCATTTTGCATTTTCTTGTTTGGGTGACTTCGGAATATCAAATTTTTAGCCAGGCCCGGTCGTCCTGCCAAATTTCATGAGTTTTCGCCAGTGGGAAGTGGGCCATTTTCCAGTTCAAAGGGGAGGAAAAAGAAGAAACTAGGACCCCGTTGGGGCACTGGCGGGCCCGAGCTGTGTCGCGTCCCCCCCCCAACGCGCTGCCTCCCCGTCCCATTTGTGTCCTCTGGCCATCGCCCTCTCTGGTAACGCCCATCACTGCAAAGACCCTTTTCCTTCATCGGCGTTTGCTGTTCTTCCTGCCAGTGCTTTTTGCTTTCACTTACACTTGCCACAGCCAGCCTCGTGAGTGCCTAGCCTATTGGATATTACTGTCACCTACACAGGACAGTCATTACCTTTCTATTAATACTTTGTTTTTTAATTTCACATTAATTTCCATATTGTATAAACAACTGGAAAAAACTTGAGCCCCTGCCCCTGTATAATCATGTGCACGTCTCTGTTCTAGCTCTAAGGTGAATCTTCACTGCTCATGTTCTCCTCAGAAGCAGTCACCTCACTCCCCTCAGGTTACTGTACACATGCACCAACTGCCTGCTTCAGGTTTGGATGGAGCTTCATGGTTGTCTTTTGGAGAAATGACCAGTCAAGTTGTGTTTGAAATTTGATTTTTTTCAGGGGCAAAAGGAGCCTCTGCATTCTTGTCAAATATGTAAATAGCATGTTTTTGCAGGTGCTAAAAACCAGACTCTGAGTGTGTGTGAGGCGTGTGTGTGTGTGTCTGTGTGTGTGTGTGTGTGTGTGTGTGCGTTCAAGTCACATGACATATTTAACCGGATGTAGCTGCAAGACGGAGCCTCGTTGACTCTCCGTTTCAATTTATCTCAAAAGTGAGGACCTCAACCTATATACCAGTTTTTAAATTGTGTTGATAGGCCAAATAAAACCAGAGTTATGATAAATTATGTCCGCGATACTTGTTTTCTGCTTATTTTGATCACGTTCGGCGCTCGATCGCGCTGTATGAGACAGGAAAACATAGCATGCAGACATTAGCGACAGGTCTTACAGGCGGAAAAGGCTTGCCAAAGGAAAAAAAAAAACACACCACAACATCTCTCCTATTGGTGGAAAACTTCACCACAACAACCAATCCAAAATTATATGGTGACTGATTGACAAGGGGCAGGAACTTACGTTCTTCCTGCAATATGAGAAGGGAGGGAGGGACTCTCAGCAGGGATGCAGTCTGGGACACGTAGTTGCAAACCTAGCGACTTTGTTGTTAGATTCAATGACTTTTCAGACCCCCTAACGACTTTTTTTTAGAAAGAAAGTGACTTTTATCGACTTCTTCTGGAGTTTAGAGACTCTGACATGAAGCAGGCTTTCCTTACTGAGGAGTTAGCAACGCTGCTAAGGGTGCAGAGCCACACATGCGCTCCGAGCTCTGCATGGGAGACTGAAGCTGACAGAGCTGCAGCAGTTAGCAGGTTTCACCCTCAGAGACCACCAGGGGTTCATGTTGAGGCATTTTAAATTTTTTTTTTGTGTGCCATAGACACTGTCAGCACAATCTGCAGTTACACTAACAAAAATGCTGCAAAAAACAAAGAATTATGGAAAAATTACACATGGACTGACATAGAGGAGGATCTACACAAGTTTTTTACATCATGTTTTACATCATGCATCATTTACATCATGTTTTTTTGTAGTGGCATAAATAAAAAGTGACATTTGTGAGACTATACAGTGTTTTGTAAATAATTTTACAAAGAACGCCTGGGCCATTGCCTGCATTTTGATGAAAATAGAGGTAAATCACTATGTTCTTTGTTTAAAATTTGCATATGTTTTGAAGTTTACAATTTTTATTTGAAGTTTAAGTTTTAAAAACAGTTCATCACACATATTTGTGGTTTAATTTCACATTAATTTCCATATTATATAAATGACTGGAAAAAACTTGAGCCCCTGCCCCTGTATAATCATGTGCACGTCCCTGTTCTAGCTCCAAGGTGAATCTTCACTGCTCATGTTCTCCTCAGAAATAGTCACCTCACTCCCCTCAGGTTACTGTACACATGCACCAACTATCTGCTTCAGGTTTGAAATGGAGCTTCATGGTTGTCTTTTGGAGAAATGAACAGTCAAGTTTTGTTTGAAATTTGATTTTTTTCAGGGGCAAAAGGAAGCCTCTGCATTCTTGTCAAATATGTAAACAGCATGTTTTTGCAGGTGCTAAAAAACAGACTCTGAGTGTGTGTGTGAATCTGTGTGTGTGTGTGTGTGTGTGTGTGTGTGTGTGTGTGTATGTTGGCGTGTGTGTATATGTGTGTGTATCCTGCAGTACTCTGTACTCCTGCAGTGGCCAAAAAGACTTTTAAGAATGTGGATTTTTGGGTCATCTTTGGCGCCCCCTAGAACTGCAGTACTCTGTACTCCTGCAGTGGCCAAAATGACTTTTAAGAATGTGGATTTTTGGGTCATCTTTGGCGCCCCCTAGAACGTAAACCGTGGGGTGCAGCGTCATGATTTTTACAACTTTGAATGGGCATGGGGTGTAGATTGCCCTGAGCAAATTTGGTATCGGTGGGACGAAAGCCTTAGGAGGAGATAGCCACATTCCAATGTGTGCGAATCGGCAAAAAATGCAAAATAGCCCTTTAACCGTACATTATACAGATACGCGCTCTTTGACTTTTTCGTAGATCTAATTGAGATACACATGATTGTCAATTTTTGTGTCAATATGACAAAGCGTTCAGGCGTGACACTCAACAATGTGTATTTTCATGTAAGGGGACAAGAAAAAATTGACTTTTTTCTCCTACCATGGGGGGGCGAACTTTTGGGGAGTAAAAATTCCTTCACAAATGTGTTGATGGCTGGACATTGCATCATCCTAGAAAACTTGGAGGCCAGTGAGGACAAAAATAAAAAGTTATAAAACATTTAAGAATGTGGATTTTTGGGTTATTTTTGGCGCCCCCTAGAACGTAAACCATGGGGTGCAGCATCATGATTTTAATAACTTTTAATGGGCATGGGGTGTAGATTGGCCTGAGCAAATGTGGTGCCAATGGAACGAAAGCCTTCGGAGGAGTTAGCGAAATTCCAATGTGTGCGGATCGGCAAAAAATGCGAAATAACCCTTTAACCGTAATTTTGACAGATACGCGTGCATGGACTTTTTTGTAGATCTTATTGAGTTACATGTGTGTGTCAATTTTTGTGTCATTTTGCCAAAGGGTATAGGCGTGACACTCAACAATGTGTATTTTCACCTTAGGGGACAAGAAAAAATGGACTTTTTTCTCCTGCCATGGGGGGGCGCTCTTTTGGCGAGTAAAAATTCCTTCACAGATGTGTTGATGGCTGGACATTGCATCATCCTAGAAAACTTGGAGGCCAGTGAGGACAAAAATAAAAAGTTATAAGACTTTTAAATATGTGGATTTTAGTGTTATCTTTGGCGCCCCCTAGAACCTAAACCTTGGGGTGCAGCGTCATGATTTTGATAACTTTTAATGGCCACGGGGTGTAGATTGGCCTGAGCAAATGTGGTGCCGGTGGAACGAAAGCCTTCGGAGGAGTTAGCGAAATTCCAATGTGTGCGGATCGGCAAAAAATGCAAAATAACCCTTTAACCGTAATTTTGACAGATACGGCCGCACTGACTTTTTTGTAGATCTTATTGAGATACATGTGTGTGTCAATTTTTGTGTCATTTTGACAAAGCGTACAGGCGTGACAGTCAATAGTGTGAATTTCCACCTTAGGGGGCGCTATGGAGCCATTTTTAATTTTTTTGTTTGGGCGACTTCAGAATATCGAATTTTTCACCAGGCCCGGTCGTCCTGCCAAATTTCCTGAGTTTTCGCCAGTGGGAAGTGGGCCATTTTCCAGTTCAAAGGGGAGGAAAAAGAAGAAAGAAAGAAACAAAGAAAAACCCCTACAGGAATAACAGGGCCTACGCCCGGCTGCTCTGCAGCTGGCTCGGGCCCTAAGAAAGAAAGAAAGAAACAAAGAAAAACCACTTGAGGAATAATAGGGCTCTCGCAGCTGCTTAGCAGCTACGCTCGGGCCCTAAAGAAACAAAGAAAAACCACTTGGGGAATAATAGGGCTCTACGCCCGGCTGCTCTGCAGCTGGCTCGGGCCCTAAAGAAAGAAGAAAGAAAAACTCATCAGGAATAATAGGGCTCTACGCCTGGCTGCTCTGCAGCTGGCTCGGGCCCTAAAAAGAAGGAAACATGCAGGAACAAGAGGGCTCTCGCAGCTGCTTAGCAGCTACGCTCGGGCCCTAAATATGTGTGGTATTGTTGAATTTACGGTCAGAGTATAAAGGGAACTATACCTGCAAGAGCTATGCATCTTCATGTTCCCTTGGGTTGCTGTGAGGCTTGCAGCTTTCATCTTTAGCAACAGTTTCTTTCTATTCAGTTGGATAGCATCTGTGAAGTCTTCATTTATATAGATTTTTGAACCTTCGAGACATTTGGCCCTCTGCAAGATTGCTGATCAGTCCTTGTGTTTGAAGAACTTAACAGCTTGTGCTCTCTCCACCTCCATCACCCACTGTAGCTGAAGTTTGTCTGTCGAAATCTATTTCACCTTTTCTTCTGATTCAGCCCAGGTGTCCAGGTGTCTCCTCTATCCCATCTATGATCAATTTGCTCCTTTTAGACTGACCCTCCAGATATTCCAACCTATCCGTGAAGGTTAACAGACTTTCACACATCTTTAAGTTTTCAAACTGCATGGCATTGCAGTGCTTAGATTGCTTTGTACTGCAAGTTTTTATATCATCCACTTTTTCTGTGTTAAGCGTGTAAAGGCTTTTATTTCTTGCTTTTATTCTCCTGTTGCTGTAGTTGGAGTGCAGTGAACATATCCGACTGGTGTTGTTGTAGGTCATTTATCTGTGAGAGTGTGACACCCTCACAGGTAAGGGTTTCACTTCTGACTTTGGCTTCTGTGGCATGTTGTGTCTTGGAGAAGCAGTTTGGTGCAGTTAAAAATAGCTTGAGCCCAGCCTTGATGTAGTTGGCTGCATTATTTTTATTTTATTTTATTTTAATCCTTCTCAATGCTGTTGCTCAGTTTACGCATAATTCATACATTCTGAGTATGCGTGGTTGAAAACAGGCTACAAGCTGGCATTGTGTGTGGTGGGTGGCTTCTTGGTGAGTACATATATTTGTATACTCGTCCTGATATTAATCCCTGTGACACTGAACATATGCACCCCAAAATTCCATCCTATCTTCACAGCATCATAAGTAGTGAGTGGTTAAAGTTAGTGACTTGCTGTTTTTTGCTGGCTAAACTACAGCTTAAGATCTTCGAAATGTCATATTCATCCTTACCATTTCCTTGGTGCACTTCTGTGCTAATTTGTAACAACAGTATAGTATAGTATAGTATAGTATAGTATAGTATAGTATAGTATAGTAATAGAAATGGCAAAGAGACAGTGAGAGACATGGGGTTAAATACAAGTGGCAATGAGGGTGAAGGGAAACTGGTGGGGATGAACAATCAGGAGGCAGATGTGACAAGATGGGGGCAGGGCAAACCACACAGGAACAAACCTCAAAGACAATGACTATAGTCACGGTCTTGTTAGGGCCCGAGCCAGCTGCAGAGCAGCCGGGCGTAGAGCCCTATTATTCCTGTAGTGGTTTTTCTTTGTTTCTTTCTTTCTTAGGGCCCGAGCCAGCTGCAGAGCAGCCGGGCGTAGAGCCCTATTATTCCCCAAGTGGTTTTTCTTTGTTTCTTTCTTTCTTTCTTTCTTTCTTTCTTCTTTTTCCTCCCCTTTGAACTGGAAAATGGCCCACTTCCCACTGGCGAAAACTCATGAAATTTGGCAGGACGACCGGGCCTGGTGAAAAATTCGATATTCTGAAGTCGCCCAAACAATAAAATGCAAAATGGCTCCATAGCGCCCCCTAAGGTGGAAATTCACACTATTGACTGTCACGCCTGTACGCTTTGTCATATTGACACAAAAATTGACACACATATGTATCTCAATAAGATCTACAAAAAAGTCAGTGCGGCCGTATCTGTCAAAATTACGGTTAAAGGGTTATTTCACATTTTTTGCCGATCCGCACACATTGGAATTTCGCTAACTCCTCCGAAGGCTTTCGTTCCACCGGCACCACATTTGCTCAGGCCAATCTACACCCCGTGGCCATTTAAAGTTATCAAAATCATGACGCTGCACCCCAAGGTTTAGGTTCTAGGGGGCGCCAAAGATAACCAAAAAATCCACATTCTTAAAAGTCTTATAACTTTTTATTTTTTTCCTCACTGGCCTCCAAGTTCTCTAGGATGATGCAATGTCCAGCCATCAACACATTTGTGAAGGAATTTTTACTCCCCAAAAGAGCGCCCCCACATGGCAGGAGAAAAAAGTCCATTTTTTCTTGTCCCCTAAGGTGAAAATACACATTGTTGACTGTCACGCCTGTACGCTTTGTCATATTGACACAAAAATTGACACACACATGTATCTCAATAAGATCTACGAAAAAGTCAATGGGCACGTATCTGTAAAATGTACGGTTAAAGGGCTATTTTGCATTTTTTGCTGATTCGCACACATTGGAATGTGGCTAACTCGTCCTACAGCTTTCGTCCCACTGACACCAAATTTGCTCAGGCCAATCTACAACCCATGGCCATTCAAAGTTGTAAAAATCATGACGCTGCACCCCACGGTTTACGTTCTAGGGGGCGCCAAAGATGACCCAAATATACATTACAGCAGACAAAGTAGTTTTGCCCACTGAGTGGCGCCAAAGGGACTTGTCTATTGAGTCTGGGAGTCACTATTGGCCGTTTTTGACTACTTTAGATTTTACCTTTATATTTCCTCTTAAATTTTTTTTTACCTTGCCTTGCCTGGTATCATTTTTTTCAGCACAACCTCACCTGTGTGAATTTACAGTTATTTTATCATTTTGACATACTGTATTTACACAATGGACCCAAATTCACACACAAAACATAAATTCCGAGTGGAAAAAAGTAACATTTTAACTGTGAAAACCACAAATATGTGTGATGAACTGTTTTTAAAACTTAAACTTCAAATAAAAATTGTAAACTTCAAAACATATGCAAATTTTTAACAAAGAACATAGTAATTTACCTCTATTTACATCAAAATGCAGGCAATGGCCCAGGCGTTCTTTGTAAAATTATTTACAAAACACTGTATAGTCTCACAAATGTCACTTATATTTAAGCCACTACAAAAAATCATGATGTAAATGATGCATGATGTAAAACATGATGTAAAAAACTTGTGTAGATCCTCCTCTATGTTAGTCCATGTGTAATTTTTCCATAATTCTTTGTTTTTTGCAGCATTTTTGTTAGTGTAACTGCAGATTGTGCTGACAGTGTCTATGGCAAAAAAAAAAAAAAACTGAAAATGCCTCAACATGAACCCCTGGTGGTCTCTGAGGGTGAAACCTGCTAACTGCTGCAGATCTGTCAGCTTCATGCAGAGCTCGGAGCACATGTGTGGCTCTGCACCATTAGCAGCGTTGCTAACTCCTCAGTAAGGAAAGCCTGCTTCATGCCTGAGTCTCTAAACTCCAGAAGAAGTCGATAAAAGTCCCTTTCTTTCTAAAAAAAAAAAGGCGTTAGGTGGTCTGAAAAGTCATTGAATCTAACAACAAAGTCGCTAGGTTTGCAACTACGTGTCCCAGACTGCATCCCTGCTGAGAGTCCCTCCCTCCCTTCTCATGTTGCAGGAAGACCGTAAGCGCCCGCCCCTTGTCAATCAGTCACCATATAATTTTGGATTGGTTGTTGTGGTGAAGTTTTCCACCAATAGGAGAGATGTTGTGGTGTGTTTTTTTTCTTTTGGCAAGCCTTTTCCGCCTGTAAGACCTGTCGCTAATGTCTGCATGCTATGTTTTCCTGTCTCATACAGCGCGATCGAGCGCCGAACGTGATAAAAATAAGCAGAAAAAAAGTATCGCAGACATAATTTATCATAACTCTGGTTTTATTTGGCCTATCAACACAATTTAAAAACTGGTATATAGTTTAAGGTCCTCACTTTGGAGATAAGTTGAAACGGAGAGTCAACGAGGCTCCATCTTGCAGCTACATCCGGTTAAATATGTCATGTGACTTGAACGCTGGGGAGCGTCAATCGACTGCAGAGCCAGCAGACAAAGTACTTATGGCCATTGAGAGGCACACATTTGTCATATGCTATAATCCTAACATATTTTAATGCTTTTTCTATTTAAACCTAATGGATCTAAGGTTTGACCTTCAAAATTTAGGAAGAATATGTTTTTGCAGTAATGACCCCCTTAAACAACCAGAGGTCCTTTCCTAAAGTTTATGGAAATTTTAGTGAAGGCCTTGGTTTCTGTCCTTGCAAAATGCATAGAAATAATAAAGCTAAATACCATAAAATGGTCTTGGCGTATTAGCAGTGATATAAAATAGTGGTTTGAATATGAATGAACAACAAAAAAAAACATCAACAGAGCCTTTTTGTGTTGGGATTCTTTCATTATTACACAAAAACAGACATAGACAGACATCGAAAGGGTAAGGGAATGATCAGCCCTCCTGACTCTCAGATGAATCTTCAAAATTCACCTCAGAAATATGCTTATTCTTCTCAGAGTACTGCAGGATACACACACACACACACACACACACACACACACACACACACACACACACACACACACACACACACTCACTCAGAGTCTTTTTTTTAGCACCTGCAAAAACATGCTATTTACATATTTGACAAGAATGCAGAGGCTCCTTTTGCCCCTGAAAAAAAGCAAATTTCAAACACAACTTGACTGCTCATTTCTCCAAAAGACAACCATGAAGCTCCATCCAAACCTGAAGCAGGCAGTTGGTGCATGTGTACAGTAACCTGAGGGGAGTGAGGTGACTGCTTCTGAGGAGAACATGAGCAGTGAAGATTCACCTTGGAGCTAGAACAGGGACGTGCACATGATTATACAGGGGCAGGGGCTCACGTTTTTTCCAGTCGTTTATACAATATGGAAATTAATGTGAAATTAAAAACAAAGTATTAATAGAAAGGTAATGACTGTCCTGTGTAGGTGACCGTGATATCCAATAGGCTAGGCACTCACAAGGCTGGCTGTGGCAAGTGTAAGTGAAAGCAACATGCACTGGCAGGAAGACCAGCTAACACAGATGAAGGAAAAGGGTCTTTGCAGTGATGGGCGTAACCAGAGAGGGCGACAGCCAGAGGACGTGAATGGGACAGGGAGGCGGTCGCGCTGGGGGCGGCGCACCGCGGCTCGGGCCCGCCAGTGCCCCAACGGGGCCCTAGTTAGGGCCCGAGCGTAGCTGCTAAGCAGCTGCGAGAGCCCTATTATTCCCCAAGGGGTTTTTCTTTGTTTCTTTTTTCTTTTTCCTCCCCTTTGAACTGGAAAATGGCCCACTTCCCACTGGCGAAAACTCATGAAATTTGGCAGGACGACCGGGCCTGGTGAAAAATTTGATATTCCGAAGTCGCCCAAACAAGAAAATGCAAAATGGCTCCATAGCGCCCCCTAAGGTGAAAATTCACACTATTGAGTGTCACGCCTGTACGCTTTGTCAAAATGACACAAAATTTGACACACACATGTATCTCAATAAGATCTACAAAAAAGTCAGTGCGGGCGTATCTGTCAAATGTACGGTTAAAGGGTTATTTCGCATTTTTTGCCGATCCGCACACATTGGAATTTCGCTAACTCCTTTGAAGGCTTTCGTTCCACCGGCACCACATTTGCTCAGGCCAATCTACACCCCATGGCCATTAAAAGTTATTCAAATCATGACGCTGCACCCCACGGTTTAGGTTCTAGGGGGCGCCAAAGATAACCCTAAAATCCACATATTTAAAAGTCTTATAACTTTTTATTTTTGCCCTCACTGGCCTCCAAGTTTTCTAGGATGATGCAATGTCCAGCCATCAACACATTTGTGAAGGAATTTTTACTCCCCAAAAGAGCGCCCCCCCATGGCAGGAGAAAAAAGTCCATTTTTTCTTGTCCCCTAAGGTGAAAATACACATTGTTGAGTGTCACGCCTGTACGCTTTGTCAAAATGACACAAAAATTGACACACACATGTATCTCAATAAGATCTACAAAAAAGTCCATGCGCGCGTATCTGTCAAATGTACGGTTAAAGGGTTATTCCGCATTTTTTGCCGATTCGCACACATTGGAATTTCGCTAACTCCTCCGAAGGCTTTCGTTCCACCGGCACCACATTTGCTCAGGCCAATCTACACCCCATGGCCATTAAAAGTTATTCAAATCATGACGCTGCACCCCACGGTTTACGTTCTAGGGGGCGCCAAAGATAACCCAAAAATCCACATTTTTAAAAGTCTTATAACTTTTTATTTTTGTCCTCACTGGCCTCCAAGTTTTCTAGGATGATGCAATGTCCAGCCATCAACACATTTGTGAAGGAATTTTTACTCCCTAAAAGAGCGCCCCCCATGGCAGGAGAAAAAAGTCCATTTTTTCTTGTCCCCTAAGGTGAAAATACACATTGTTGACTGTCACGCCTGTACGCTTTGGCAAAATGACACAAAAATTGACAATCATGTGTATCTCAATTAGATCTACGAAAAAGTCAAAGAGCGCGTATCTGTATAATGTACGGTAAAAGGGCTATTTTGCATTTTTTGCCGATTCGCACACATTGGAATTTCGCTAACTCCTCCTAAGGCTTTCGTCCCACTGACACCAAATTTGCTCAGGCCAATCTACACTCCATGGCCATTCAAAGTTGTAAAAATCATGACGCTGCACCCCACGGTTTACGTTTTAGGGGGCGCCAAAGATGACCCAAATATACATTACAGTAGACAAAGTAGTTTTGCCCACTGAGTGGCGCCAAAGGGACTTGTCTGTGGAGTCTGTGAGTCACTATTGGCCGTTTTTGACTACTTTAGATTTTACCTTTATATTTCCTCTTACAAAATTTTTACCTTGCCTTGCCTGGTATCATTTTTTTCAGCACAACCTCACCTGTGTCAATTTACAGTTATTTTATCATTTTGACATACTATATTTACACATTGGACCCAAATTCACACACAAAACATAAAATCCGAGTGGAAAAAAGTAACGTTTTTACTGTGAAAACCACAAATATGTGTGATGAACTGTTTTTAAAACTTAAACTTCAAATTAAAATTGTAAACTTCAAAACATATGCAAATTTTTAACAAAGAACATAGTAATTTACCTCTATTTACATCAAAATGCAGGCAATGGCCCAGGTGTTCTTTGTAAAATTATTTACAAAACACTGTATAGTCTCACAAATGTCACTTTTTATTTATGCCACTACAAAAAAACATGATGTAAATGATGCATGATGTAAAACATGATGTAAAAAACTTGTGTAGATCCTCCTCTATGTTAGTCCATGTGTAATTTTTCCATAATTCTTTGTTTTTTGCAGCATTTTTGTTAGTGTAACTGCAGATTGTGCTGACAGTGTCTATGGCAAAAAAAAAAAAAAAAACTGAAAATGCCTCAACATGAACCCCTGGTGGTCTCTGAGGGTGAAACCTGCTAACTGCTGCAGCTCTGTCAGCTTCAGTCTCCCATGCAGAGCTCGGAGCGCATGTGTGGCTCTGCACCCTTAGCAGCGTTGCTAACTCCTCAGTAAGGAAAGCCTGCTTCATGTCAGAGTCTCTAAACTCCAGAAGAAGTCGATAAAAGTCACTTTCTTTCTAAAAAAAAAGTTGTTAGGGGGTCTGAAAAGTCATTGAATCTAACAACAAAGTCGCTAGGTTTGCAACTACGTGTCCCAGACTGCATCCCTGCTGAGAGTCCCTCCCTCCCTTCTCATATTGCAGGAAGAACGTAAGCGCCCGCCCCTTGTCAATCAGTCACCATATAATTTTGGATTGGTTGTTGTGGTGAAGTTTTCCACCAATAGGAGAGATGTTGTGGTGTGTTTTTTTTTTCCTTTGGCAAGCCTTTTCCGCCTGTAAGACCTGTCGCTAATGTCTGCATGCTATGTTTTCCTGTCTCATACAGCGCGATCGAGCGCCGAACGTGATCAAAATAAGCAGAAAACAAGTATCGCGGACATAATTTATCATAACTCTGGTTTTATTTGGCCTATCAACACAATTTAAAAACTGGTATATAGGTTGAGGTCCTCACTTTTGAGATAAGTTGAAACGGAGTCAACGAGGCTCCGTCTTGCAGCTACATCCGGTTAAATATGTCATGTGACTTGAACGCACACACACACACACACACACACACACACACACACACACGCACACACACACACTCAGAGTCTGGTTTTTAGCACCTGCAAAAACATGCTATTTACATATTTGACAAGAATGCAGAGGCTCCTTTTGCCCCTGAAAAAAATCAAATTTCAAACACAACTTGACTGGTCATTTCTCCAAAAGACAACCATGAAGCTCCATCCAAACCTGAAGCAGGCAGTTGGTGCATGTGTACAGTAACCTGAGGGGAGTGAGGTGACTGCTTCTGAGGAGAACATGAGCAGTGAAGATTCACCTTAGAGCTAGAACAGAGACGTGCACATGATTATACAGGGGCAGGGGCTCAAGTTTTTTCCAGTTGTTTATACAATATGGAAATTAATGTGAAATTAAAAAACAAAGTATTAATAGAAAGGTAATGACTGTCCTGAGTAGGTGACAGTGATATCCAATAGGCTAGGCACTCAAGAGGCTGGCTGTGGCAAGTGTAAGTGAAAGCAACACGCACTGGCAGGAAGAACAGCAAACGCCGATGAAGGAAAAGGGTCTTTGCAGTGATGGGCGTTACCAGAGAGGGCGATGGCCAGAGGACACAAATGGGACGGGGAGGCAGCGCGTTGGGGGGGGGACGCGACACAGCTCGGGCCCGCCAGTGCCCCAACGGGGTCCTAGTTTCTTCTTTTTCCTCCCCTTTGAACTGGAAAATGGCCCACTTCCCACTGGCGAAAACTCATGAAATTTGGCAGGACGACCGGGCCTGGTGAAAAATTTGATATTCTGAAGTCGCCCAAACAATAAAATGCAAAATGGCTCCATAGCGCCCCCTAAGGTGAAAATTCACACTATTGACTGTCACGCCTGTACGCTTTGTCAAAATGACACAAAAATTGACACACACATGTATCTCAATAAGATCTACAAAAAAGTCAGTGCGGGCGTATCTGTCAAATGTACGGTTAAAGGGTTATTCCGCATTTTTTGCCGATCCGCACACATTGGAATTTCGCTAACTCCTCCGAAGGCTTTCGTTCCACCGGCACCACATTTGCTCAGGCCAATCTAGACCCCATGGCCATTAAAAGTTATTCAAATCATGACGCTGCACCCCACGGTTTAGGTTCTAGGGGGCGCCAAAGATAACCCAAAAATCCACATTCTTAAAAGTCTTATAACTTTTTATTTTTGTCCTCACTGGCCTCCAAGTTTTCTAGGATGATGCAATGTCCAGCCATCAACACATTTGTGAAGGAATTTTTACTCCCCAAAAGAGCGCCCCCCCATGGCAGGAGAAAAAAGTCCATTTTTTCTTGTCCCCTAAGGTGAAAATACACATTGTTGACTGTCACGCCTATACGCTTTGTCAAAATGACACAAAAATTGACACACACATGTATCTCAATAAGATCTACGAAAAAGTCAATGCACGCGTATCTGTCAAATGTACGGTTAAAGGGTTATTCTGCATTTTTTGCCGATCCGCACACATTGGAATTTCGCTAACTCCTCCTAAGGCTTTCGTTCCACTGGCACCACATTTGCTCAGGCCAATCTACACCCCATGGCCATTAAAAGTTATTCAAATCATGACGCTGCACCCCACGATTTAGGTTCTAGGGGGCGCCAAAGATAACCCTAAAATCCACATATTTCAAAGTCTTATAACTTTTCCTTTTTGTCCTCACTGGCCTCCAAGTTTTCTAGGATGATGCAATGTCCAGCCATCAACACATTTGTGAAGGAATTTTTACTCCCCAAAAGAGCGCCCCCCCATGGCAGGAGAAAAAAGTCCATTTTTTCTTGTCCCCTAAGGTGAAAATACACATTGTTGACTGTCACGCCTGTACGCTTTGGCAAAATGACACAAAAATTGACAATCATGTGTATCTCAATTAGATCTACGAAAAAGTCAAAGAGCGCGTATCTGTATAATGTACGGTAAAAGGGCTATTTTGCATTTTTTGCCGATTCGCACACATTGGAATTTCGCTAACTCCTCCTAAGGCTTTCGTCCCACTGACACCAAATTTGCTCAGGCCAATCTACACTCCATGGCCATTCAAAGTTGTAAAAATCATGACGCTGCACCCCACGGTTTACGTTTTAGGGGGCGCCAAAGATGACCCAAATATACATTACAGTAGACAAAGTAGTTTTGCCCACTGAGTGGCGCCAAAGGGACTTGTCTGTGGAGTCTGGGAGTCACTATTGGCCGTTTTTGACTACTTTAGATTTTACCTTTATATTTCCTCTTACAAAATTTTACCTTGCCTTGCCTGGTATCATTTTTTTCAGCACAACCTCACCTGTGTCAATTTACAGTTATTTTATCATTTTGACATACTATATTTACACATTGGACCCAAATTCACACACAAAACATAAAATCCGAGTGGAAAAAAGTAACGTTTTTACTGTGAAAACCACAAATATGTGTGATGAACTGTTTTTAAAACTTTAACTTCAAATAAAAATTGTAAACTTCAAAACATATGCAAATTTTTAACAAAGAACATAGTAATTTACCTCTATTTACATCAAAATGCAGGCAATGGCCCAGGCGTTCTTTGTAAAATTATTTACAAAACACTGTATAGTCTCACAAATGTCACTTTTTATTTATGCCACTACAAAAAAACATGATGTAAATGATGCATGATGTAAAACATGATGTAAAAAACTTGTGTAGATCCTCCTCTATGTTAGTCCATGTGTAATTTTTCCATAATTCTTTGTTTTTTGCAGCATTTTTGTTAGTGTAACTGCAGATTGTGCTGACAGTGTCTGTGGCAAAAAAAAAAAAAAAAAACTGAAAATGCCTCAACATGAACCCCTGGTGGTCTCTGAGGGTGAAACCTGCTAACTGCTGCAGCTCTGTCAGCTTCAGTCTCCCATGCAGAGCTCGGAGCGCATGTGTGGCTCTGCACCCTTAGCAGCGTTGCTAACTCCTCAGTAAGGAAAGCCTGCTTCATGTCAGAGTCTCTAAACTCCAGAAGAAGTCGATAAAAGTCCCTTTCTTTCTAAAAAAAAGTCATTAGGGGGTCTGAAAAGTCATTGAATCTAACAACAAAGTCGCTAGGTTTGCAACTACGTGTCCCAGACTGCATCCCTGCTGAGAGTCCCTCCCTCCCTTCTCAAGTTGCAGGAAGAACGCAAGCACCCGTCCCGTGTCAATCAGTCACCATATAATTTTGGATTGGTTGTTGTGGTGAAGTTTTCCACCAATAGGAGAGATGTTGTAGTGTGTTTTTTTCTTTTCTTTTGGCAAGTCTTTTCCGCCTGTAAGAGCTGTCGCTAATGTCTGCATGCTATGTTTTCCTGTCTCATACAGCGCGATCGAGCGCCGAACGTGATCAAAATAAGCAGAAAAAAAGTATCGCAGACATAATTTATCATAACTCTGGTTTTATTTGGCCTATCAACACAATTTAAAAACTGGTATATAGTTTGAGGTCCTCACTTTTAAGATAGGTTGAAACGGAGAATCAACGAGGCTCCGTCTTGCAGCTACATCCGGTTAAATATGTCATGTGACTTGAACGCTGGGGAACGTCAATCGACTGCAGAGCCAGCAGACAAAGTAGTTATGGCCACTGAGAGGCACACATTTGTCATATGCTATAATCCTAACATATTTAAATGCTTTTTCTATTTAAACCTAATGGATCTAAGCTTTGACCTTCAAAATTTAGGAAGAATATGTTTTTGCAGTAATGACCCCCTTAAACAACCAGAGGTCCTTTCCTTAAGTTTATGGAAATTTTAGTGAAGGCCTTGGTTTCTTTCCTTGCAAAATGTATAGAAATAATAAGGCTGAATACCATAAAATGGTCTTGGCGTATTAGCAGTGATATAAAATAGTGGTTTGAATATGAATGAACAACAAAAAAAAACCATCAACAGAGCCTTTTTGAGTTGGGATTCTTTCATTATCACACAAAAACAGACATAGACATCTAAAGGGTAAGGGAATGATCAGCCCTCCTAACTCTCAGATGAATCTTCAAAATTCACCTCAGAAATATGCTTATTATTCTTCTCAGAGTACTGCAGGACACACACACACACACACACACACACACACACACACACACACACACACACACACACACACACACACACACACACACTCAGAGTCTTTTTTTTTAGCACCTGCAAAAACTTGTTATTAACATATTTGACAAGAATGCAGAGGCTCCTTTTGCCCCTGAAAAAAATCAGATTTCGAACACAACTTGACTGGTCATTTCTCCAAAAGACAACCATGAAGCTCCATCCAAACCTGAAGCAGGCAGTTGGTGCATGTGTACAGTAACCTGAGGGGAGTGAGGTCACTGCTTCTGAGGAGAACATGAGCAGTGAAGATTCACCTTGGAGCTACAACAGGGAAGTGCACATGATAATACAGGGGCAGGGGCTCAAGTTTTTTCCAGTCATTTATACAATATGGAAATTAATGTGAAATTAAAAACAAAGTATTAATAGAAAGGTAATGACTGTCCTGTGTAGGTGACAGTGATATCCAATAGGCTAGGCACTCACGAGGCTGGCTGTGGCAAGTGTAAGTGAAAGCAACACGCACTGGCAGGAAGAACAGCAAACACCGATGAAGGAAAAGGGTCTTTGCAGTGATGGGCGTTACCAGAGAGGGCGATGGCCAGAGGACGCGAATGGGACGGGGGAGGCAGCGCGTTGGGGGGGGGGGGGGGGGGGGGGCACATGGCTCGGGCCCGCCAGTGCCCCAACGGGGCCCTAGTCTATTTTAGTTCTTAATTTTGATTTTATCATTGCAAAAACCTTTAATCTTTCCTCCACAAGTAACTATAATGTCGCAAATGACATAGACTCACATGATCCACATATCAACTTCCGTAACAAAGTAATCTGTAAATCCAATTAATGTAATTGTCATAGCGAAGATGAGTTCCACACCTTAATTAGGGCCCGAGCGTAGCTGCTAAGCAGCTGCGAGAGCCCTCTTGTTCCTGATGGATTCTTCTTTTGTTATTATTATTATTAGGGCCCGAGCGTAGCTGCTAAGCAGCTGCGAGAGCCCTCTTGTTCCTGATGGATTCTTCTTTTGTTATTAGGGCCCGAGCCAGCTGCAGAGCAGCCGGGCGTAGAGCCCTATTATTCCCCAAGTGGTTTTTCTTTGTTTGTTTCTTTCTTTCTTCTTTTTCCTCCCCTTTGAACTGGAAAATAGATAGATAGATAGATAGATAGATAGATGTACTTTATTAATCCCGAAGGAAATTCAAGAGTGGTCAACTGCTCACAAGAATCAGTCACACACACATATGATATGATAAAAACAGATTATGAATAAATATCTAAAAATAAATAAAGAAATAAAGAAAAACTAATGGCAGGAGGGAGAACCAACTTGGGGACAAAGGCAGGGACAGGTAAAACAACACACCACAACAGAAACAGCGACAATGAGGACAGATGTGTTCCAGCACTTCTGCCTTTGAGATATTCCCCCCACACCCGCTTGACTCCAGCTACTCCTACTCCTCCTCCCGTCTCTTCCTCCCGCTCAGGGAGTTGTGCAGCCTGATGGCGCGGGGGACAAACGACTTTGTGTGTCTTGTTGTTGAGGAGTTCAGTGATCGTAGTCTGCTGCTGATGGTGCTCCTCTGCTGGTTGAAGGCATAGCTCAGTGGATGGCTGGCATTGTTCATAATTGCCTTGAGTCTGGTGAGTGACCTCTGCTCTGTCACCTCCTCAACAGAGTCCAGCTTCAGGCCCACCACTGAGCCTGCCTTCTTGATGAGCTTGTTCAGCCTCTGGATGTTTCTTTTGCTGCCACTGCCACCCCAGCAAGACACAGCATAGAACAGCACACTAGCCACTACAGAGTTGTAAAACATCTGTAGGAGCTTGGTGCAGATGTTGAATGATGCCAGCCTCCGCAAGAAGTAGAGCCTGCTCTGGCCCTTCTTGTAGAGGTGGTCAATGTTCTGAGTCCAGTCCAGTTTATTGTCTAGTATGAGTCCGAGGTATTTGTAACAGGGCACTATCTCGACCTCCTCGCCCTCGATGCAAACAGGGAGTGGGGCGGGGGCTGGCGCCTGAAGTCCAGCACAATCTCCCTTTGTTTTGGAGGTGTTCAGGAGCAGCTGGTTCTCCTGGCACCACCCCACAAAGTCGCTCACTAGTTCCCTGTATTCCCCCTCCTCGTTCTCCCTAATACACGCTACAACTGCTGTGTCATCCGAGAACTTCTGCATGTGGCAGAGTTCCGAGTTGTGTTGGAAATCAGCAGTGTACAGGGAGAAGAGGATGGGGGACAGCACGGTCCCCTGCGGAGCTCCAGTGCTGCTGGTGATGGTGCTGGAGATACTGCTACCGATCCTAACAAATTGTGGTCTGTCGGTCAGGTAGTCAGATATCCAGGAGATGAGGAGGGGGTCCACCTGCATGGTAGACAGTTTTTCCTGCAGTCGTGGGGGCTGAATGGTGTTAAATGCGCTTGAGAAGTCGAAAAAAAGAATCCTCACAGCGCAGCCTCCCTCATCGAGGTAGGAGTGTGTTCGATGGAGAAGGTAGAGGACAGCATCCTCCACTCCTATCCTCTCCCTGTAGGCAAACTGGAGAGGATCCTGGGTCTGCTGCACCTGTGACCTCAGGCGGTGCAATACCAGTCTCTCCAAGGACTTCATGACCTGTGAGGTGAGGGCGATGGGACGGAAGTCATTGGGGTCCTTGGGGTGTCTTGTCTTGGGGACGGGGACGATGCATGATGTCTTCCACAGTGAGGGGACTTTCCCCAGGTGCAGGCTCAGATTGAAGATGTGCTGAAGAGGGTCTCCAAGCTCCTCAGCACAGGCTCTCAGAAGCCTCGGGCACACCAGGTCGGGGCCAGCTGCTTTCCTGGGATTAAGTCTCTTCAACACCCCACTCACCTGATGAGCAGTAATGAGGGGGGGATCAGGTGAGATGGGTTGAGGGGCTGGTGTGGTGAGAGTGATGCCTGGAGATGAACGGGACGATCCAGTGAGGGGTGGTAATTGGGGGGGTGGGAGGGGTGTGCTGATAGAGGGAGGGGGGGGACCTGCTGGAGGAGGGGGGGGGTGATCAGGTAGGGAGGTATGGGCAGAAGGGTGGAGAGGAGCCAGCTGTTGATGGATCAATGCAGTTGTGGTTGGTGTGGGGGTGGCAGGGAAGGTGGGGGCGCCAGAGCTGAACCGGTTGAAAAATGTGTTCAGCTCATTTGCTCTCTCCACACTTCCCTCAACTGGTCCTGCAGCAGTTTTTTTGCATCCAGTGATGATCTTCATGCCATCCCACACCTCCCTGATGTTATTCTGCCTCAGCTTCCCCTCCAGTTTCTTTTTGTAGGCCTCCTTGGCCTCCCTTAAGCAGGTTTTCAGTTCTTTCTGCACCCTCCTTACCTCCTCAGGGTCTCCATCCCTAAACGCCTTCTTTTTCCTATTAAGGACAGCCTTCACCTCACCAGTGATCCATGGCTTGTTGTTAGCAAAGCAGCGCACTTCCCTGGCAGGCACAGCAACATCAGTGCAAAAGTTGATGTAGTCGGTCAAGCACTGTGTAGCCTGCTCGATGTCCTCTCCGTGGGGGTCAAGCAGCACATTCCAGTCAGTGCAGCTGAAGCAGCCTCTGAGAGCCTCCTCAGCCTCCGGTGTCCACCTCCTGACGATGCGCGTGGTGATTGGCTGCCTCCTCACCAGTGGTGTGTACCTGGGCTGCAGATGGATGAGGTTGTGGTCGGACTTCCCGAGGGGAGGGAGGGGCGTGGCCGAGTAGGCATCCCTCACATTGGCGTAGAGCAGGTCAATGGTCCTGTTCTTCCGGGTGGGACAGTCCACATATTGATGCATGGCCGGCAGAGTGGAGTCCAGGGTGACGTGATTGAAGTCCCCTGAGATGATGACCAGAGCCTCTGGGTGTTGCGTCTGTAACCCTGCGGTGGTGGAGTGTACTGCTTCAAGCGCCGCCTCCACGTTAGCCCTCGGAGGAATGTAAACACAGACCACGATCACCTGCGTGAACTCCCTCGGTATGTAGTATGGTCTTAGGCTAACGGCTAGCAGCTCACAGTCACGACAGCATATGACAGATTTAACACTGCAGTGTCCAGGGTTACTCCATCTGTTGTTTACATACAACACCAGGCCCCCTCCTTTACTCTTACCGCAGGCGACGGTGTCTCGGTCTGCCCTCACCGTAGTGAAGCCGGGTAGCTCCACGTTAGCATCAGGTGTGTGGGCAGTTAGCCAGGTCTCTGTTAGAATTATTAAACAGCTCTCCCGGTAAGTCTGTTGGTTCTTGATAAGTGCCGTTAACTCGTCCATTTTATTTGGCAGAGCGTTTACGTTCCCCATCAGCACCGAGGGAATCGGTGGCTTGTAGCGTTGTTGTTGTTGTTTCCTCGCTGTTACTTTAGCCCTACGCTTCGCCCCGGCACGGCTACCCCGGTATCTCCTCCACAACTCTCCGGGTATAACGTGGCGAAAGTTCGCTTTAGTCCTCCTCAGAGCTAGAAGACTCCCTCTAGAGTAGACTATTTTTTTCTGGTAGTCAGATCTACCAGCACAGCAACCACAACATACATTCTCATTCACACGCAGAGCAGCGGACCGGCAGCCGGCTCGCACTGGCGCCATATTACGTCACGCACAACCGGATGCAGATCTGCAACAACTGTGGCCCACTTCCCACTGGGCCCACTTCCCACTGGCGAAAACTCATGAAATTTGGCAGGATGACCGGGCCTGGTGAAAAATTTGATATTCCGAAGTCGCCCAAACAAGAAAATGCAAAATGGCTCCATAGCGCCCCCTAAGGTGAAAATTCACACTATTGACTGTCACGCCTTTACGCTTTGTCATATTGACACAAAAATTGACACACACATGTATCTCAATAAGATCTACAAAAAAGTCAGTGCGGGCGTATCTGTCAAATGTACGGTTAAAGGGTTATTCCGCATTTTTTGCCGATCCGCACACATTGGAA